GAGGCATGGCTGCCCATGGGGCGCTCCTAATGGCAAGTTCCATCCCACCTTCCCCCCACCCCAATTTTGCATGTTTTAAAATAGGCCTAAATTTGAGGGGAGGGGCTTAATTTCATTTTATGCCTAGAAAAAAAGCTGGGTCTTCCAATTGGGGGGGGTGTATTGTTGGAGAAACACAGTATATGTGTGTGTGTGTGTATAAAATTTGTAACTATGGTATTTTTGTTTTGTTTATAATGCCTTTTCTAGGAAATAGTGTTTTAAACAAAAATAGCACTTAGCAATAGTACTTATTGCTTATATCGTGCTCTATAATCTGTACAGCACTCTCTAAGAGGTTTATAAGTGTCAGCATATTGCCTCCTCAGTCTGGGTCCTCATTTTACTGACCTTAGAATGGAAGGCTGAATCAAGCTTGAAACAGTTAGGATCAAACTCTTGTCTGTGGGCAGAGCTTGCAATGCTGCATTCTAACCACTGGGCCACCATTTATTTATTTTTTACACTATGGGTAATATCTATTGACTTGCCTCTCTCTGGAACCTTTCTAATGTAAGCTTCCTTTGCATTTGGTCTTGAACCCAGGGATCAGCAGCATACTCATTCTTCAGCAGTGAACTCCAACAGTTTCCAGCATCACGGTTGGTTTTTGTCAAGGTGATTCGTATCAATTTCTGATCCTCTTTTTAATTGAAAAAACAAACACTGGATTTATTCACAATTATCTTTGGAACAATTATTTGAAAGATGATGACTAGGTGGATGGACTCAATTACAGAACCAACAGTACATTGTTAGAAAACAAAGTTGAAGACAAATTATCCTGGAGAAATCTACCTATGTGATTCCCTAAGATTGAGCACTGATTTCATGGTATATAATCATGATAAATGCTCATATTTTGAACTGTAAGGAAGTACAACACAAATTATGTAGACATCCTCATTTGTTTTCCAAAAGGGACAAGGTCTAATGATATTCCAATTGAGATTAACCCAATACAACTGCTGGGGTATAGTCCTTTTTTTTAACTAAAAAAATGGACAGATACTTGTACTAATTATGAGAAATTTCAAAAATCAGCAAGATGTTTCAGGAATTTCCAAGATGGTCAGTGCAACATGGGGAAGAACTTTGGCATTCTCCCATATTCTGAATGCAATGTAGCATTTGAGTAACCTTCAAACTGTTCTAAGTATAGGAGGTCCAAAGAAGACTGTTTATTTATTTTCATATACTGAATCTAACAAAATATTAATCATTATAGTCTGTGGATCTTTGTATAATACATGAAAATAATGAGTACAAACCTTCCCTATTTCTCTTTTTCTTCCATCTATACATGTTCTGGCATTACAATAAACATTTTAAGACTTTAAAGAGATTACTGCTGTCTTGTCCCCATGTCTCTTTTTCTTCAATGTTCCATCAATTAGAAAAAAATCTGAATATATCTTAACTCAAGATAGCTAAAGTATTTACACGGAAATCAGACTCATTTTTACCTCCACTTCTATTAACAAACCAGAATATGGAAAAGGAGCTTTCCTTTTATTTTAAAGTCTTAAGAAAAGGAAAACAATGACGATGTTATCCATTCTATCATGTCTGACTCGGCGACTGTATGGGCCAGATCTATTTTCTATGTTCTGCTTGGTGTCAGCTTTGATGGTGTCTAGTCACCATGTTCTTTGGTGGCTTGCTTTGTTTTTATCACTAAGTCTTCCCAGCATAATTGCTTTCGCTAGTGAATTCCCTCACATGACATGGCCTAAGTGAGACATAGATTTGCAATTTTGCCAAAAGGGAAAAATCACATTCCTATGTTATTATAAAACAATATTATATACCATGTGATTTTTTTAAAAAAATAATTAAAAAATCCAAGCAAGTAGAAGGAAAGTCCACAATGAAACTAAATTGTGTAAAGTTCTCTAAAGCACAGATCTTACCTAGTGTCCAGGTTGCTTCATCAGCTATTGTAGAGTCAAATAAATTACCCTGGGGGAAAAATATAGGACCCCTGTTTCAAAAGCAAATATTATGGATTTATAATATTTGAATGTCACAAATACTATATACTATAATTTTGTATGTAATTTTGTAAACTTTGCTGAATTAAATTTAGTAGATCAACAAAAGGTCAGATTATTTAACAGTATATTATTGCATAAGAAGAGGTCACATTTTTAATTGTTTTGGCTATTTTAATTGAGGCCTTGAAGATTTTAATATATCAAAATTCCAAGCTTAATTATGACAATTAGTTTTCCTTTCATTTGAACTCTATCCTGATAAAATGGAAAGTTTAATTTCAAATTTGACCCCTTTTGGAAAGGAGGAAGAAATTATTAAGTTGCCAACTGCTTAATGACATCTAAGGTGACAGACAGGTTTTTAATTCCAAAGCCATAATTCCACAGATAGGGAATGAATTAGCACATGTGACTGTAGTCTGGGTGCTTGGAAATGTGTTCAAACTTTTGATCAGTTGCCAAATGCTCCACAATCATGGGATCACCATTTGCAATCTTCTTCACTGGTTTTCCCAGAAATTCATTGGGGAAGCCAGCAGGGAACGTTACAATCTGCTGTCACCTGCCAAGAGCACTCTCACTTGTTTCTGGGGCGCTAAAAGAACTTCCTTCTGAAGAATTTCAGTTTTGGATTACAGCAATCAGGATTTTCAGCTCCTGAGTTGAAAAGCAATGAGGTTGGGTGGTGAGAACCTTTCTGAATTTCAGCAGGGAAGAATTTCATCTCCTAAGCAGAGAAAGACTCACTTGTGCCCTGTGCAAGGCCTCCTCCAACCCCCAAAGCAGATCTGATCCTTACCTCCTACTATGTCTGCTTAAGATCCTACAAGCTCATTTAACAATGCAACCAGAAGTTTTGGGATTGTGGTCACCAAGAAAAGCATTCATATGACACCTTAACAACTGCTTTATTCAATGACTGAGATGCCAATCCCAATTGTGGTCATAAACCGAGAACTACCTGTTAGCACAAATGTTACATTTTAATCAGTTCATCAAAATAGTCTGACTAAAAAGATTATACAACATAATATTTATTTTTCTAAGTGTATTCTTGGTTTTACTGTTAGCTTTTTACATCAATGGTAGACTAGAAATCTGAATTGCCTGCCTAAGATAGGAGACCGAGAAGCTCTTATATGCAGCACTCAAGATGAGAGTGGGGCAATTAAACCAGAATTCTACATATAACCTGTTTAGTTTGTTTTTTTGTTTACTAATCAATGTGACCAGTCCACAAATTCCCTTGAGATAGTCCTTGCAGTTTTTTTTGGTAAGTGTCTTGTCAATGCCTGCTTTCTAGGACTGAAGAATGAGTGACCGGTTCAAGGTCACCCAGTGGGCTTCATGCTTAAGGCAGGACTAGAACTCACAGACTCCTGGTTTCTAGGGGAAATGATAAAATGACGATAAAAGTGATTTGTTGCCAAATCACTTCCGAACTCGTGACAACAAAACTGCAGGGGGTTATCCAGGCAGTCACCAAGAATCAAGATTGAACCCCCCCCCCCCCCCGCCCAAAAAAGTTTGGCATAGCAGAAGCATCAAGCAAAACTCAATACGGGACCACGCAGCAATGAGTCTACGCTACGCCCTCCCGTGTCACATCATGAGGACTAAACCGAACTAGCACCTCTCTCTCTCTCTCTCTCTTTTGCAGAGGTACCTTGAGCACCTCCTTCCCAGCTACGGTCAAAGCCAGGTGCCGGCTCTTCAGGCTGCATTCCACGTCCCGCGCTCGGGTCCCTTGCGGCACGTTCACCTCGACGAAGACCTCTTCCATGGTTTGGTACCAGCGTCCCCAGGGAGTGGCGCAGGGCACGAACCCGCTCCGCTCTTCGAACGGCGCAGACATCTACTTGGCCGCCCAAGCCTGAAAAAGACGCATGCGCCTTTGCCCGGCTGCCGCTCGTTCGCCTGTCTTCGGAACTATTCCGGTAGAAACCGCGAGGGGCGGGGCCAAGCGTGCCAGGCTTCCGCCAGCTTCTTCCGCCCATAGATCCAGAACGAGGAGAAAAAGAGTGCGCGGTAGAGTGCGCGGTTATAACGTTTCACACCAACCAATCACAGCACAATCTTTTGGGTGGGAATAGCTGGTTCACGTTTCTTGTTTGTTTTCATTTTATTAATGAAAAACCTTTAAGTCAAGCAAAACCACAGACTGTCAAGAATTAACTGCTGAGAGACAATACGGAGAACGGAGACTGAGAAAGCTCTATTGGTATCCGCTACGTTTGGTGAATTTGTTTGCCCAGTGCTAGTAAAAAGGAACATGCGTAGATACACGGGCCGATTTAAAATAAAACCACACTCTATTTTACTGTTCACACAGAACAATAATATTTTGCGTGAAGAAAGGGTTTAGAAACAATGCTTCAGTGCTATAACCACGTACGTCACTCTTGATCGAGAGATGTTTTGGAGTTCAATTCCCAAAATCACTGACTGGCCAGCAGATTATGCGAGTTCAAACAGGATTGATGTGGAAGTAAAAAGATGCCAGGCTGGGGAAGCTTGCTAAATATATTCCACAATCTAGTTGACGTGTTGGAAACTGCATCCTACGTGCACAGTATACAATATATTTTCATTTGACAACATACAATGTTTTATTTAAAAACCGAACACGCCATGAGTTTTTTTTTTAAAAAAAAGCGGGTCTAAAGTATGTTAAATATTCCTTTTACTTTGCAACCTCAAACTGTCAATTATTTCTGTTCACATTTCATTGCACTCAGTATGGGAAGTCTAAACTCATATCGCACCACGCCTAGCTTCGCAATCTTTATTATTATATTCTACCTATTAAGAACTTCTTAACCTAATTATGTCTGCCCACCTACGGCGCATGCTCCACCGTGGAGCCCTGATTTGTTGACAAATTGGTTGGTCGGATTATCCGATTGGCTGATTCGGGCGTACATTAAAGTGGGCGGTATCCTGTTCAATTTTTGAATTTGTTCTGTGCGTTCTGGCTGTGGGAAGTTGCGGGCTGACTATGTCTTTTCCGAAGGCTCCGATCAAGCGTTTCAATGAGGCACCAAGTAAGTAAATGGGTGCTGGGCCATGCTGGGCTTGGATTGTTTTTCCAGAGGCTGCGGTGGCTCTTCCGAAGGAAAATATCTTTGAAAATATCTTTTTCGAGCATGATGCAAAATATGCGCGATAACGTGTTACACCTCTCCTTCCGCCTTACTTTGTTGCACTTCTGTGCAACGTTCTGTCTCCAAAAATAATCGTAAATTGTACGAAGTTCCGTTGTTGAGATGTTTAGGGTATCATTATTATATCACCATTTCCTTCCTCTATCATGTAATAAAGACAGCCTTACCCAATCCAGAACTTTCTTAATGAAGTGGATTATAATTCCCATTATCTCCAGCCAGCATTACCATTGGCCTGCAGAGTAACAAGGTAGCAAAGCATTGTTGGGGGAAAAAATCTTGGAATTAGTTGGCACTAATGCATTAGGATAGTGCTATGATCAATGTAAGTAAAAACATTGAAAAAGAAGGTGTCTGCTTGTAATAAATTAAACTACATATTTTTTAAAAAAATATATATTTAGCATATTTTCACTGTGAATTATTACAAACCTCACAAAAAGGTAGAGATTAAACAGATAATTCATTTGCAAGTGGATCAGAAAAAAAAAGAAAAAACCATTTCAATAGGTTTTAGTGCATCCAGCTCTAGAAGTGATGCAAGGTAAAAGGTTGTCTCTTTTGAGCTGAATTTGACTCCTGATAATTTCATGGCAACATTTTACAAGTGGTTTGTTATTGCATTCTGGATTTTAAAAAACAACTCAGCTTTGATTTTCCTGGAAGTTTCCTACTCAGATTGTAACTCTGATCAGTGCCAAACCAAGACAAGGTCAGAGCTAGAGTTTCCTGTTGCTTTAATATCATAAATCCAATGTAATCCTTGGCAGTTGTGCAGTCACATTCCAGAGGCCTGGAATGTACCATTAGTAGTTGAAATCTTAGGAAATAATTTCTACTGTAACTGAATACAACATTGCTAACAAAATAAATCTTCAAATGAAATGACCTTTCTTCTGAAGGAAGAAATCAGGGTTCCCAATAATTGGTGAAATCTCAGTTGTGTATATTGTTAGATTGAAACATGGCTTATGACTCCATGAATCAATTCCTTAATTAGTCATATAGTCCAGTCTTCAGCCATCCAGCTTCAACATAGACCCAGCCTGCTGGTAACAGATCAGCTGGCCAAAGTCACTGTGACATTAAGATAGGTGGCATATAAATTTAATATATAAAAATGTTGCAGAGATCTTATTCTTTTTAAAGTGAATCTGGGTTCTCCATTGACTTTGCTTGTCAGTTGCAAAATGTGATCACATGACCCTGGGGCACAACAACCACTGTAAATATGAGTCAATTGTCAAGAATCTGAATTTTGATCATGACTATATGGTAGAGACCTGAAGACCATCTGGCTGGCGGGAGGCACGTGCACATGCATGGTGGAGCTGAGCTGGGGTGACAGCACGCGTGCCCACAGAGAAGGCTCTGCATGCCACCTGTGATATGTGTGCCATAGGTTCACCACCACGATCCTAGGCTTCTGAGCTCAAGTGCAAGTAAATCTGCATTTGCCTTGGTTATGCTGATTGGAAGAAGGCTTAAACCTTTATCTTACACATATTCCCAAATTAATTACATCCTCTCCGGAAGGAGGATATGCTGACAGAAAATAAATTCCAGTCAGTCAATTAATACTGATGGTACTCCTCTCTAAATTCTTTTAAAGTACAGGTAGTCTCTGCTTATCAATGAAATTGTGCACAGAATTATGTCATAAGCCTTTGCAATTGTAAGTTGAGGCATTATGTGACTGCCAACGTTTTTTTGAGGTAGTCGTGTTGGAAGTTAAAGCCCATCTCCCTCCTAGAAAAATGAAATATTTTAGGATATACTAAAAAGGCAGAATATTTCCCCTAAAAGGGACGTAGAAACTCAGGCCCTCACCTTTGTCATTAATGCCTGGGGAAGTCTATTTTACATAACAAAGATTTACCTCCTTCAGGCAGACCCATAATAGGAATCCCAAAGCCCTTTCATTACATCAACATCCAGCAAGGCTCAACCAAGCCTGGGACTCAGGACAGCCTGTATGGTTCCATGGGAGTCTGACAAGCTCAAATTCAAGTCCCAACAGAGGGCATAAAACCAAGGGACTCTCAGCATCTCTTCCCTTTTTACTCAGGAGCTCCAAAGCATGTAATCCTGTTCACCATTAAACCATCTTTCCAAGCAGTTACCATGTTTCCAGTGTCTTTCTTCCCCACTTGGAACTGAACCCAGATGGACATTTCTTCCAACAGTTGTTAAGCAAATATTGTGGTTGTTAAGTAAATCTACCTCCCACACACACTTCAGGAATAATTTTTTCAGTCTAGACTCTAGACCTGTGATGGCGAACCTATGGCACGCGTGCCGGAAGTGGCACACAGAGCTATCTCTGCAGGCACGCAAGTAGTCGATCCAGCTCAGTTCCATTGCGCATGCACCCGCGCCGCACACCAGCCAGCTGGATTTTGGGTATTTGCTGTGCATGCACGGGGGGCGGGGCACATGCAGGAGATAGAGGCAGGGTGTGCACGCACTGCATTATGGGTACATGCATGCACTTTCGGCACGTGATGACAAAAAGATTAGCCATCACTGCTCTAGACTCTAGTAAATGATGGGCAACAAAGCAAGATACTCCCCCAATGTTTTTGCAATTGAATTGGATTTCAATTCCCAGAATCCCTCAGCCAGCCCAGAATGTTGGGAGTTGAAATCCACTCATCTTAACGTTGCTAAGTTTGAGAAACACTTCTTTAGAGGTGCTCTCAAATCGAGAATTTCTTTGAAATCGTGTGACAAAAATTTCAAACAGTATTCTTTCCAAGTAGTCCATGGTAGATCACTCAAAAGGATAATGTATTCTTTAAAATAAGTGCTAATTGTATCAAGGTCTCAAGTTATATTTTTGGGAACAGATGCAATTTACCTTCCCTCCCTATGCTGGGGGCATGTCATTAAGAGTTCATAAATATTCAGAGGTGCCTTTTACATTTAGTGGAACCATGCAAATAAGAAAAAAAAAATACCACAAGATAAACATGAATTTAAGTTAAATATAATCATTTCAATAGATTGTTTTTTTTTAAAAAAATAAACTTATTGTAACTGGAGCTCTGACTTTGATTAATATCTGTCTCCTACTCATCTCTAGCTTGTGCCCCACCACCCGGCTCTTATAATATCAAAACTTCAGACCCATCAAAAGGACCTGTGTCTTTTGAAAAGTCTCAGCGATTCAAGATGCAGATGGGTAAGTAATTGGGTTATGAATGGCAATGGCTTTTGCAAAGTTTCTTCATCAGCTTTTTACTTATATGTATGGTTGCTTGTTTGTGTCTGGAGATTGTCTGTTTCTAATTAACATTGTCGTTTGTTCATGTGTAGTTGCTGAATGTTGAATAACACTTTGTACACTGGGGTATGTTTCTCGATTTATCTGCTCTGTAACAACTCCCAAAAAACATAGCAGAATTTTCCTATAAAATTCTAGGAGCTAAGAATTAAGCGGTGAATTAAGGCTCAATGCAGTGTCTAACTTGATCAATTGGCAACCTTACTCAAGATTGTTTTTTCTTAATTTCAAGAGATAGAGTGGGATAGATAAACAGGTGCATCAACATCTGGTTAGCAACCTGACAGTGAAATAATATAAAAACAACAAAATTCAGAATGTATTACATAGCAGTACAGTGAGTAATTTATTTTTTTCTTAAAAACCATCTACTGGAGATTTTGTTTTAAATTTGAAATTGCTGAAACGGTTCTAAATAGCATTAGCACCCTTAACTATTTATCCTATACAAATTGGATTTTAATCAAATGTTTAAATAATTGCTTATGCTGTTTTTAAATAAGGCAGTCCTTGACTTAACAAAATTCATTTAGTGACCATTTGAGTTACAATGGCACTGAAAAAAGTGACTTATGACCATTTTTCACATTTATGACTGTTGCAGCATTGCTATGGTCACATGTGAGTTCCAGTTGAATTGACAGTTCCAGATCATGTGATCACCTTTTGCAATCTTCTGACAAGCAAAGTCAGTGGGGAAGCTAGACGCACTTAACAACCATGTTACTAATTTAACATGTAGTGATTCACTTAGGAACTGCAGCAAGAAAGGTCATAAAATGGGGCAAAACTTAACAAATCTCACTTACTGTAACTGTGTCCAATTGATCTTGGTTTACTAAACTATATCTTGAAAAAATATGTGTATTTGTTTCCCTGCCTAATTCCAGCATTTTTATTCTGCCAGCTCACATTTAACATGATTTTGTTAAAACAAAGCAGTCCCTTTGATCTTTTTAGCTGGAAGACTCTAAATAGCTGAAACAAAAGGAATCCTATATTTACTGGAATTATGCCTTTAACAAGTTAACATTTCTCTTTGGGGTTCACATTAATCCTCTTACAAAATTGTAAATATGCTTGCATTTGTCATGTATAATAAGCTTTCATGGGGCATGGAAATGAAGAAAATGATAATGTTATTTTTTTTTTTAAATGAGATCATCGCCAAGTGGTTTTTGTTATATACACCATTGATTTGGAACATTTGGAAGTCAAATAGATAATGTGCCTGGTTTTCTATTTCAAGCTTTCTTCATAAAGTGTCTCTATTTTTTACTGTTTCAGTGTTGAGTTAATAGCTTTGAAATATATTGGGAGAAGTTACACTCTTTAGGATGGAAAATGAAACCTCTTATTTTATATTTTTGTAGAAGATGTAGGTGCTCAGCCAGATCCAAGCAACATGAAACCTATCCCTTCCCCAGCAACTACAAGAAAACTTCCACCTCTCGGTTCAAGAGTAAGAATCATCTTCTTCTTTCATATGTTCAATTAGCATTATTTTGTAGAGGATGAAAGATCATTTTTTTCTAAGTGGGATTTTTTAAATTTACAATAGAATATGTAATATCTGCCGGTAAATATTAATCAAACTTAATCACATTAAAGGAGACAGAATTTGGCATTGTAATAATTATGACAATTGTTTTACGGGGTGGGGTTATAATTTAAACTGTTTTTCAAAGTATTTTCACCAAATGTCATTAAAGAAGTAGAACTATGCATCTAGGGTATGATTTCCCAGCAGTTGGTGTGTTTCTCAGCTATGTGGCTATTCAAGCTGCACTTATACTTTTAATGTTTTCATAAAAAGTGAAAGCAAAATCTCATTTCTAACTTTCAGTAACTTTATGAATCAAACTTGCAGAGTTTTAACTTTAGTTTTGTATTTCTTGAATTTAAAGCCAAAAAGCATGGGAATAAAGTCTGACAAGAGTCTGATTGGCATTAAAGAATTGAAAAAACAAAAAGAGCTGGAAAAGGAGGTATGAATCAACATTACTTTAAGTCTGATGTGGAGTCAACATCATTATTAAGATTGATGATCTTAATAAGCTAGCTGTGCAAAGTGGGCTTCTAGTTTTTTGTCTTAACCTTATGTTTTTATCTTGTATGCTAGGGTTTCTTAACCTGTTGACCCAATTGCCAATAAAGGAGGGTATTTGTAGGTCATAGCTGAAATGAGGGGGTCCTTTGTATTCTCTGAGCTTATTTGTTTTCTTGCAGACATTTCATTACTCATGCTAAGTAATGTAGAAAGTTAGCAATCACCCTTTCCTAGAAGAATAAAATACTCTAAGAAATATTAAAAAGGCAGAATATTATATTTCCATGGATGAGAAAAGGAGAAACATGTTTCTAAAGACAAAGCAACTTCCTGCAGCTCCCTGCCCCCCTTCAGCTACAGGGTGATGGGATTAAGACATGGACCTCAGGATATGATAGGATTAGCCTTCTACCCATCTCACCACATGGCGCCTGGGAGGATTACATCACTTAGTAATATTCAACCAAGCTTGGGACTCAAGAAGATAACCTACAAAGTTATCCCTGCATGGCTCCATGGGAGTCTGACAACCAATCAGAATACATTTCTTGCCACAGGAACAGGAAGCAAGTTCAAAGCCCAACAGAGGTTATAAATCTCTCTCCCTCTCTTACCCATGTGCTTATTTGCCCAGGACCTCAAATCATGTGATTCTGCTGTCCCTCATTAAACCATCTTTCCAAGCAATCTCCATGTTTGCAGTGTCTTTCTTCCTACTTGGAACTGAACCCAGATGGATATTTCTTCCAACAGTAACATCATCAGTGCTAATAAGGAGTGTGGTTTGCTGTCAATTTATATTCTATGGCTTTCCCTGTCAATGTTGGTGGGGCTGGTGTTACAGATTCTTTGGTTGGGCTGTTTACTGTTGATTTCTTTGGCAGTTTCTTGATTGGGCCATTGTTTACTTGATTGTTGATGTGATATGGAATTAATCTTCGCTGATCTGGGTGCTGATTGGGTTTTTTTGTTCCCTTTTTGGCTGATTGTCTCTTGCATAGTATATAGATGTTGTAAATGTCTTTGTGTCTATTGATGGCTATATAAACTGACAGTAAACCACACTCCTTACTAGCACTGATGATGTTGCCTAGTTTGGGTAATGAAACATCTACAAGGAAGCTTAGAGAGCACCAATGACCCTTTAACTCTGTTGACAAATTGTTCCATTACCCTTATGATATTTCTAAATTACCCTTGGGGGTCTTTACCTCCAATTAAGGAACCAGTGTTATATATGCTGACCAGAGATGTTACAAGTTGAGCGGTCTACAAATTTCATAAACAAATAGGGTATCGGTAAAATTCCATATTTTTTCCAGATATTTGATGGAAGAGCAGTCTGATTGTTAGTCTTTGTAAACTAGCCCCTAGTTGAAGAGAATGTTATAAATGATTTCATTTATATCTTAAATTGTAGGAGTGCATTAATTACTTTCTCATTTTATTTAACCTGTATTTTGTGATTTAAATATGCTATCTTGAAATTATTCAGCTAAGGAGGAGCATATCACAAATAAATATATGGTTGCTTCTTTCAATGAGCATGCAAGGAATGGAACCTTTCAGTCCAGTGGTTTTATATTAGCAATAAATTCCCATGTGTTTTGCCAAACTATATAGATGGACTTGCTTTCTATCTAATGTTTCAGTTAATTTCATCCTGTTTGAGTAGATTCGGATCCTAATTGGAATACGTGCCCAGCAAGATAAAAGATTGCAAGCTCTGGAGGAAGATCATGCCAAGTCTGAATCAAAGCTGTCTGCTGCAGTCCGTGAGAAAAACACTCTTTTAGCAAATATTGCTTCTCTAGAAAAACAGCTTTTGGAGTTGAGAAAAAGCAATGACTTGCTCAAAACAAAGGTGCATATTGATATTCTCTTTAAAGTCATCAGAACACCTTTTCTGCAATTTATAGGCTTCTGCATTTATAGTTAGAAGATAAAATGTAACGTAATATAGATATGTAATGTTCTGTATTCTGTGAAAATAGATGTTTTATACAGGTTACCCTTGTTTAACAACTGCCCTGTTTAGTTACCATTTAAAGTTACAATGGTGTTATAAAAGTAACAACCATTGCTTGCACTTATGACTGTCACAGTGTCCCTGTGATCATGCAGTCAACTTTGCTTACCATTACAGTGTCCTGCAGTCCCATGATTACCATTTGTGAACTTCGCAGCCAAATTTCCAACAAGCAGAGTGAATGAAGAAGAGCAAAATCGCAAGTTGCGGTCATATGTCTCAATTGCTATGACGAATTTGCTTAACAACCAGAGTGAAAATGAGGTCATAAGTTTGTTATGGTCGTGATGTTTCACTTAATTTTCCAATGGAGTTGTTAGTTCCAATTTTGGTTGTTACACGAGTACCTGCACACTTAAAATACACATGTGAAAGTCATTTATTCTACAAGAGTATTATGGTAATAATGATGTGCGGCAAACTTATGCATGTTTGTAGAAATTCATATTAAGTGTTATGAAATAGGATTTGTTTTCAAAATAAGGCCACAGTTGGAATACTTTATCCAGTTTTGGTTACCACCATGTAAAAAAAATGTTGGCCTCTGGAAAGAGTGCAGAGAAGAGCAACAAAGATGATTAGGGGACTGGAGGCTAAAACATGAAGAACTGGTTGCAGGAATTAGGTATATCTAGTTTAATGCAAAAAAGAACTAGAGGTGACCTGATAGTGTTCTAATATATGAGGGGCTGCTACAAGAAAGGGGTGGTCAATCTGTTTTCCAAAGCACCTGAAGACAGGACAAGAAACAATGGATAGAAACTAATCAAGGAGAGAACCAATCTAGAACTAAGCAGAAATTTCATGATAGAACAATCAGTTCAACAAGTTGCCTCCAAAAGAAGTGGGTGCTCCAGTGATGGAGATTTTTAAGAAGAGATTGGACAGCCATTTGTCTGAAATGGTATAGAGTTTTTGCTTGAGCAGGGGGTTGGAGTAGAAGACCTCCAAGGTCCCTTCCAACTTTATTATTCTGTTATTTCCTTTCAAGGAGCAGTTCAGTGAAATGTTAGGACAGAGTATGTTTTTCTTGTCCTTCATAAGTTTTGAGATGGCCAAGGAATTTGGAGGACTGCCTTCTTTCTTTTTCATGCCACAACTTCTACAGCAGTCTGGAGTTTTCACGACTTTCCATAACTCCAAGAGGAAGGAGCATGAATGAAGTCCCATTGAAATTGTTTCAGACTGTGTAGGCAGCCAGGAGGACTTCAGAGTGGCGGAGAAATTCAGAGCAGAAAACATAATCAGTTGAGGTCTCTGTCACTCTCAGCAACACAGTAAAAACACTAAGAGAAATCAGAAAGAAATGTTCAGGTGCTCCCATGAATAAGGTTTAAAAAAAAAAAGAATGCTTGCAAAGCAGATTTCAGCCCATGATTTAGCGGCACTGATGTATGAATAGTAATTATTCCACACAAGCAATTGCATATGTTATGTATAAAGTATACTAGCCCTGAGCACAGTGCATATTTTCTGTTTGCTTCTACTTGAATTTAAAGGAAAGGCTTTTATATTTTTATATGGAGCTGTAGTGGAGCATCTTCATGAAATATTGGTATCACTTAGGTATCTTATGTACAGGTAGTCAGTCCTCAACGTACGACCACAATTGAGCTCAACATTCCTGTTGCTAAGTGAGACATTTGTTAAGTGAGTTTTGCCCCCATTTTACTACCTTTCCTGCCACAGTTGTTCTTTGAATCACTGCAGTTGTTAAGTTAGTAATATGGTTGTTAAGTGAATCTGGCTTGCCCATTGACTTTGCTTGTCAGAACCAAAGGTGATTACATGACCTCTGGACCCTGCAACTGTCATAAATATGAGTCAGTTGCAAAGCATTCTGAATTTTGTTCATGTGACCATGGGGACGCTACAATGATTGTAAGTTTGAAAAATGGCCATAATTCGGGTTTTTTTCAGTACCATTCTAACTTTGAATGGTCACTAAATGAACTGTTGCAAGTCGACAACTATCTGTATTATGATAACTGTTAAACCTCACTTATTTCCAGTGGAGAATCTAGAGATGTTTAAAACTGTATTTGAGAGCAAGTGTTATTGAACGCAGGAATTTCTGAATTAGGCATAGGATATTCTTTTTCTATTGGAATCAGATATGCCAAAGTCGCATTTTCTTGTGTTGTTTTTGAAGTCAAACCTAAGTCAAATTTAATAATAAAACTGACTTGCTCTGCCTTTTGTCATTTTTAAGTGTTTTGAAGATGGAACCCAGAAGAAAATGCACAATCTCTATTTAGAATTAATGAAGCTTAGGAACAAAATGAATGCAAAAAAGGTATGTATATTACCAATGTGGATTACATTTTCTCACTTCTTAAAAAATTTGCAAGTATCACAAGATAGTATGTTAGGCCTATAGTTTTCAGTAGAGAATATGAGTTAGAACTATTACTAGTATTATTATGTTATGTTATTTTTCATACCTTTCCTAGCTTAAAGAAAGTTTAGGACAGTCATGGTTTATCTCTTAATAAACCACTGTTCGTTGATGCAATTTTAGATGGTTCCTGTTAAAAATGGAGACATGGAAATTAAACTAAATGTGCCCCAAGGAATTGTGGAGAAAAAACTGGCCCAGCCGGAAGAATTGTAAGTTATCTCATAAATTGTCAAGTACAAGCTATTTTTATTAACCTTGATGAAATGTAGTTTGAGAAGAACATCTTTTGGGTCTGGTATCCTCGGTATACTATTGGTACCCAGCTTCATTTCTGTCTGAGTTGGACGTGAGAAACTACTGAGCTACTGAATCTGTGTCTGGAGGCTGGTTGAGCCTAGATGGGGAGGAGCAGACCAGCTTAATCCTGACAAGGTGCTAATTAAATACAAATATCCTTTTTTTGCCAGCTTGAAGCTTGGGATATATTGTATCCTTTTTCTAAAATGTAATACTCTGATCAAATTTTATTTCAGAACAGAAATAGAGAGACCAGCAGAAGAGAAATATGACTTGGACAAACTCCTGGAATGTATTGTAGAACTTGGGTAAGTTAAGTTGTACAAAAATTATGAGGGTTGTTCTCTATCTCCTAATAGAAGTATATTTAAATATTCGTATGTCTAGACATGTTAAATGAATGAAAATTATAAATAGGCACATTGCTCATAAACCCTGATTTTTTCAAGCTACAATTTTATATGTGATAGATGGATCTACAGTTCCCAAATGGCTATCCTAACATACTAATATGTCTATGGAACCATGGGGGATGTTGCAAATATTACCAATTAATATTGGTGACTGGCAATACATCTTTGCTAGTTAAGTGTTTAATTTTAAACTTGTATAATGGGGAGATATTAAATTGATATTGCTAGATATGCATGTAAAAACAATAGGAAGCATGCATTCACATTTTCCCCTTCAAAGTAATAATTTGTATAAGGCTACATGTATCTTGAACACCTCAAGGACAGCAGAAAAGTAAACTGATTGAAGTGACTAGTTGTTTGTTCCTCAAAATGACTTTTGCAGAAATTCAGATCAGAAAACCTGTCTATCCATTTAACCATCTATCTACTGATTATCACCTTATCATATCAAATATGTCAATATTTTCACATTAAATCTTTTAAGATTTCAGCCTGCGAAGCACTAAATTCAAATTAAGATCAGATAGGACCGCTGATTTTGACCATTTTGACTTATTTTTGGACAATTATTTTTCATGCTTCTGAAATTGTTTTGTGATGATTGATGCCACTCATCTTACTGGGTACAATGCAACTGAAGAGTCAGTGAAAATATTGGCTGGGAACAGATATAATCTAAACTTCAACTAGAAGCAAAAAGGTGTGATACAGAAGGAAGATACTGTGGTTTATCTTCAATGGTTATATATGGCTACTACTACTTGACTGCATTTCAGAAGAGATTACTTTAAAACAAGTTACAATAAATAAGACTCCTCTCCAATTAATTTGTATATCATACAGAAGAAAATGAGCTGGAATATACTTCTTTCACCAACCAAATTATAGTAAAACATAATGGCAAAATTAGTGTGATTTTTCTTTCTTTCCAACAGAAATGTTGCAGAACAAGTTTATGATAAATACCAGCTGCATATTGTCCAACTACAGGAAATAATAGAATCCAAAAAAAAGGACATTGAAACATTGGAAAGTACTCTTTATCTGAAAGAAACTATGCTATCTACACAAACTGAGGAACTGAATGGAAAGTACAAAATACTTGAGGAGCAGAAAGGTAACTCCAAAAACATATATATTACTGTATAAGAAAATAAACCATTTGTTAAGACTTTTGAAAACTATTTCTAAGTTTGGCTAAGAAATATTTTCTTTATTCCCATCATGACAAATGAAAATAAAAAGTCTATTATTAGATGAAAGAATTGTCTGGAAATGTCTGATCTTAAGCCAAACACTATCTTGAGAGCAATACCATTCTTCTTTAATTGGATTACACACTAATATAGATTATAACAGGAATATATGTCAGAAGAATTTTTTTATACTGACTTCAGAGTTGCTTCATCCCAAATGCATGTGCTGTGGGCTGGTTTCTATGTTAATCTGAACCTTAGAAAGGGATTTAAGGAAACTGCTTAAGCAACATATAGTTAGGTGCTTAATTCAACTATACTGAAAGTTGTAACATGAGCTTTTTATCTTGTTTCTTAGTAGTCAATGATTTCATAAGGGGTTCAGATCACCAACGTACTTGTTTATGCATTCAGTTTTCTAACTCGAAAGGTGGAACCCATTAGCCTTTCCTTTGGTGTTATATATTGATTACTAAATATTGATTCTTTATATGAACTTCATTTATCATCACATCAATTTTCTTCTACCTGCATCTTTCTGTAAAAGGTTAGGACAGTGTTTCTCAATCTTGGCAGCTTTAAGATTCATGGACTTCAACTCCCAGAATTCCAGCTTTGCTTGAATGATAGGAAGCTTTGCTGTCTGGGAAATTCTGGGAATTGAAGTCCACTCATCTTGAAGTTGACAAGGTTGAGAAATACTGGGTTAGGGAAATTGGGGGCAGGGCAGTTAAGAAGGAAAGGGAACCCAATTTGCCTAAATTGATATTCCAAAGCCAGATTGAACTACTGGAAACGTTATGCAAGTAATCTCTACTATAATCAGGACATTGCTAAATCAGGGCAGAGCTAACAAAACACTTACGTGCTTTGTTCACACCTAAGTTATATATTCTGTATACAACAGAAAAAAAATCTGTTAAAAGTTATGCTAAGAAATGTACTCTTTTTGCCTTTAACAGCCTGATATAAAAATTTAGAAAGTGCTCTAAAATGTGTTGCTGTTTTAATGGATCCCAGCTGCATGAATGGAAAATGGGAATTTTTTTGGAAAAAAAATTTAAAAACCCACTCTGGAAATCATTTTTGCTCTGTCAATTGCATTTCTAAGAAATAATTCATGTTTGAGAGCTTCTAAGTAGTTCAGATAGTATTCAGTGGGCTCTAATAACATGTTATTATGAAACAGTTTATGGGGAGAAACCTAAGCTATCAGATTTTCCTGTAATAGTAATGGCGATAGAAAAGTAAAAAATCAAGGAACGTAGAAAATATGAAAATGTCAATAGAATTATATTTATATGAGATCTTATATAAAAAGTAAAGTTCTCATTTAGAGAAATGTGTCCATGAATATGAAGAAAAGGAGCAAGTTATGAATGCTGAAATACAATGCTTAAAAGAAAAACTTTCTACAGAAGAACAGGAACACCAAAACCAAAAGAAGATTTTTAAGGTAAAAAAAAGATTAATTAAAGGTTTGTTGTGTTTATAAATGCAAAAAATTCTGTATGTATTGAGCATTCTCTGGGTGTTGCCCAGTTATTCCATATAGTTTTCTACGCAGAAGAAGGAGTCCATGTTTCCTAAGATTTCTGACCCTCTCAGTGGCGTTCAGTGCCATCAGATATGGTGTCCTTCTGGACAGTGCAAAGATTTAGAAGTGGAAGGCATTATTTTACAATGGTTCTGCTCCTATCTGAATGGATGATGCCATTCAGATTTAGGTATAGAGGCTTTAGTTGAACCTCTATACCACATGGAGCCTGGCTCTACATTCCTACTGTTTAATATCTACCTGAATTTTTGAAAGATTATAAGCCAGTTTGGGGTGTACAATCATCACTATGCTAGTGACAATTATACATTTGTGAATAGCATAGATCTCTTGGTCAAATGGATATGAAGGGCCAAACAGTTCAAAATAAGCTCAAATTCCTGGAAGATGGAATTACTTGTAGTGATGGTTGAAATTTGATTCCAATCCCTAAATTGCTTTGGGATGTGGGAAATATGGGGTCCCCCCTGAATTCATTAACTATGCTTGAGCAGATGGTATACCAGGTGTAGGTATTTCTGGAGTAATAAACCTTACAGCAATGATAATCCCTGCTACTGAAGATGAGTCTGAGAGTGTAATAGGTTAAAAAGTAGAAGCCCAACTATTAACAGGTGGAAAATGCTAAAGTTTTGCTGCAAGTTACCAATTTTAAGATGATTTTAACCTTTTTCAGCTTTTCATGGCTTGACATTAAGGTATTTGCAGGATCATCTCCCCTAAGCAGAAACTATGGAGAGTGTTCATTCCCCCCCCCCCCCCCCCCCCCCAAAAAAAAAAAAAAAAAAAGCTATTCTGGGTGGATCCCTATCTCATGTTGACTTGAGTTTTTGGAAGACAACTCCATCTGTTTTTTTTCACATGATATTGTACAGTGTTATTATTTTCTATATAAAATTAAAATCATATTAAGTAGGATAGCAGAGAAATGCTGTTATAAATAGAAATGTAAAAAATAAATGGGAAGTCTGAGTAAATTGTCACATGTGAAGGTTGCAAGTTCTTGCCTCATTCCTTCTGTTAAATATATTTTTCAGGTGGGGGAACAACTTGTTGTTAATGGCCATATTTGTATTTTTGCTGATACCCACTTCAGGAAACTTCAGCTGAAATGCATCAGAAGTTACTTAAATTCCAAGAGGAGGTAGCTCAAGAGAGAGAGATACTAGAGGTAGAATTGAAAGAAGCCATGGAGGAGCTGGATAAATTGCACACCAAAGAAGCTAAAGTTGAAAAGCTTTTAAAGCATTTGGAACAGGTTAATGAATCCCAAAATGAGGAGTTATCACAGCTGGAAGCAAAACTGCAAAGGTTTGTAGAAAAGCAGGCTCCTATTGAAATTGTGTCAATTAGCTAATAGGATTATAGAATAGATTTCCTTCTTGAAGCCTGTATTCTCAGATCTCTTCAAATTCCCTTTGGAGAGAATTGGGATATATGTGCTAAGAAGGATCATAATTTTCCCATTGAAGAAGCAGAAGTATGGCCATGAACTAATGAATAATGTCCTTCTCATAAACGGCAGATAATGTACTACAGTCCAGTAGTGCATGGCTTGAGATCACAGGTTTGTCCCCAGAGATTCCCAAAGTTATTACCAAAGTGTAAAGTTTTATATGACAGGAAAAGAAAATGAATATGTAAGAAATAATCATGTCAACTTTTTTGGTTTAAATTAAAGATATTTTTTATTGAAAACTAAGGATGGGAGTCAAAAGATTTTGCATTGTCTTTTCTACCCTTTTCTACCCTACCCTCCTATATTTCTCAAATGTTTCAAGCTATTTCTGGAGTTTCATAATACAGATTTCCAGAGGTCTCCCTTTCCCATCTATTTAAGTATGAACTAATTAAATCAAATTTAAAATAATAATTCTATTGCCCTACGCTCTGTTTGTAGCTTCCAATTCAACCAGTAGCTTTTGCAGTGCTTATATATTAACACTTGAATATTATTACTTTGTGCAGGAAAAGTGTAGAGTTGGAAGAAATGGCTGCATCACACAAGAGTACCATTGAAAAGCTGCAAGAGGAATATAACCAGCTCCAGCTTAAATTTGGAGAGACTGCCACTGAATTTGAAAAGTATGTCTGTACCATGGCATAGAAGAGTTGGAAGAGTTTTATTTGTTTGGTATTGGGAATTCTTGTCTTTCCATAATCTGGAAGCAGACATCTGTTTCAGATTTACTGTACAGAAACAGAAGGATCAACACCTTGTACTGTGTTTCCTTGCTTTAGGTAGCAAAGGTTCACTGAAGTGAACAAATTTCACTTGAAAAATGAATAAGCTCTATTGTTTGTGTCTCTTAGTACAACCTGTCATACATGAGCTTTGGGATAATCCTTTGTATCTGGATGGTGGGTAAAAGTTTAGCATAAAGATGATAGTAAGAATACTATGCACAACTCAAAAGAAATGTAAACTTTTAAAATCTTTCTTAGTTACAAAGTCTGCATGACTGAAGAGATTGCATGCCTGAAACAAGACAAAGCTAATATGCAGGAGAGATTAACTGAGATGAGTAGGACAGTCCAGAATGTGACTCATGCAATGCAAGAAGAACAGCATTCTAAAGACCAGGCAAAAGAAGATTATATGAGGTATGGACAGTTAGGAAATTTTGCCAAAATGACTTGACTACAAAGACGGTATTTGGTGTTTTGGGGCATTTATAGAATCAGATAATTGAAAGAGATAGTCTATCTCATGAAATCCAACAACTTTCTTTACATAGGAATTTAAATTAAAGTATCAATGACAATTGGATACCCAATCTCCATTATATATTCAGTGAAGAATTCCTCTCTTAACTGATTCTGTTATCAAACTGCTATGATTTTAATTGGGACTTTCCCCCCCAATATTTTCTTCTGGTTTCTGACTGCTTAAAATTATGTAGTTTCCATCAAAATGCTAGTTTATAGGAAATTATAATTTCTATCAAGTTTATTTTGGATTAGTTTAAGATAATAAACTACTTGGATAAGATTTTCTGTCTTGATTCAACCAGAAAATTTGCAGGTTGAGTGGAAACTTTATAAAAATATATAGCTCCTTTCACCTCCAGCTCTGCAGAATATGAATTATGTATTGCTGAATTAATATCTGCAATGATTTCAATAGCAAAAATATTTAAATCAGAGTAGCAGATTTTAGACTGTAGGATTTTATTCTATAGAAAAACAATCAAAAATCCTAGGATTTAGCTTCAACATCCAAGGTGCATTATCAAAAGACACAAGTATTTGGAATTAAACAATTTGTTTTATCAATTATTGTAGCCTTTTTCTGAAAAGATGTTTTCCAGTATCTGAGCTTCTCTCTTTATTTTAAGGATGCTTCTTGACAGTCAAACAAAAATAGAACTAAAAGATGCGGAAATAGACAAAATCAAGGAATTGAGCACTATGCAAATTGCTAATTTACAAGCCAAACTGGAAGAGCAAAGTGAAGAACTGAACAAAAAACTTGAAATAGAAAGGTGAGTTTCAGCTGTCTTGTGTGGGAACTTCAGATGAAAATACTTTGAGTCTTTGGGAGAAAAAGAATGTGAGTTCTGTTCACATTTAAAATAAATCACATTCTAAGCATTAGAGCAGTAGTGATCATCCTGGGACTCTTTGACAGGAATACCTGATTATTATTTTTTCAGATAAACATAAAGTTGGCTATTGGATGACTTTTAATTGATCCCAGTTCCCCCAAATCCCAGATAAAAATATGGCACAGTAGATAAAAAGTAATTTTGATTTAATTTACATATAAATTACATTTAGTAGAATATAGTTAATATTATCAGTGTATGCATTAAAAATACCTTACTGCCCCATATTTGGAAAGGTTCTAGCATTCAAATGCTTCCAAGGTGAAGGGGTTATGTACTTTAGCAGAAATTGGCCAAATTTCCAAAGCCAGACATTTTATTGTAAACTGGTTTGAGAAGCTTTGGCATATAAAAAGAAATATAAATATATTAATTAAATAAAAATATTTTTTTGCTGTCATCCTACTCTGGGGAGTAGGGAAGAGGGAAGAATAAAGGGGATGTCAGACAAAAGGGTATCAGAAGAGGGGGAAAAACCCTCCAAAAGAGAAAATATTGTCTTATCCCATCCGTTGGCATGCTGTGCTCCAAAAGAATGTGATTTCAGGGGGAATGGCTACCTGCATACATATATTTAGAAAACATATGCAATATTTTTTTATCCCCAGGAAAACCATTACTGAAAAAATTGGAGCAGATTACAAAAAGAATATAAAAACTTGGCGTGCACTCTATGAAGACCTGTATAATAAAGTAAAACCTTTTCAGGTTAGTCCTTAATAAACACTGATGGGTTTGGCCAGTTTTTGATAAAATTATTATTTTGGAACTCCAAAATCAACCTGGATTTTTATTTTTGACCTGGATGCTCCCATTGTTTTAATACTGCAAATGCCCTGTATTGATGGATGGCACTTCTACTGAATTGATTATTATGGTTCATTGCACAGTTAACCAGATGTTCAGTCTGGATTTGGCATTTTTCTTCTATCCTATTGAATTTTTTCCAAGGGCCTGGAATAGGCAGGTGTTGATGTTTGATAATGTTAAAGGTATCATCACAGGATTTAAGATGTTCCAAGTAAAGCTGCCTTTTGCAATTCACTGATGGTAATTTTGTGGTGACACTACTTTGAACAAAGATAGTCAAGTGATGTTCCAGTTGTTTTTGGGATTGTACTCAAGGAACCTATTTACCATTGGTACTACCTTACTTTCTTTCTGACAGTCATTCTCTTTCTGTTTGAAAGGTGTTTGTATTATCTTCTCCAATTATTATTATTTAAACATATGTTTAGTCTGATGGTAGAATATTTTTTCATCACAAGCATGTGCAGAAAAGCAATTCTTCCTATATCATTGGTAGTTGTACTATATATGGAGATTTCAGGGCCCTTCTGAACTATGAGAGAGGTAGCACAACTGAGAAAGAGATCAGCACATCCTATTTTTATGGATTCTATTGAGTCAATCAGGTACCTCAGTTGCTGGTCATCATGATTCAACATATATTTTACTTTGTATTTCAGCAACAGTTAGATGCATATGAGGCAGAGAGAAATGCCCTTCTAAATGAGCATGGTGCAACCCAAGAAGAACTGAACAAAATTAGTGATGCTTATGCTAAGTTGCTGGGCCATCAGAATCAGAAGCAGAAGATCAAACATGTAATGAAACTGAAAGAAGAAAACACCCAACTAAAACAGGTTTGCTACTCCATGAAGACACAGATTTATGTTTATCTGCCATAGGGAGAGACAGAAATGAGGTCAAATTGTGAGTAAAGAACCTCTATTTAGCAATGGCACTTAGCCATAGTTTTTAGACTTATAGACCACTCCATAATTTTACAATGTCAACATATTGCCCCTAACAAGCTGAGTCCTCATTTTATCAACCTTAGAAGGTTGAGGGCTGAGTCAACTTTAAGCTCCATCAGGATGGATCTTCAGACTGTGGGCAGAGTTAGCCTGCAATATTACATTCTAACTATTGTGCTACCTGGATCCTAATATATAATTTAGCAACTATATATTAATCAACTATGAAACAATCAAACATATGCTAAAGGTAGAGATTCTCTCCATCCCCATCAATTAGCAGGGAGTAAAAGCTGACATTCATGGAACTGTAATGGTGATAAGATCCACAGTTGATAGAAATGAGTAGAAAAATGAAGATCAAGAACAGCAACTAGTAACATTTTCTGGAGGAAAAGACATGCCTCAAATTAATTGTTAAACACTAGCCATGTGAAGGAGGACAAAAGTAAAAAGGAATAGGCAATTAATTAATCCATCAAGAACTTGAACAGTTCATAATATATGCCTGAAAGTGAATTAGAGTAGGAAAGGTGGAAGTGATAATCAAGAACAATGTCTCATGCTATATAGATAGTACAATATAAAAGACTAGACAAAATTAGGCTGATAAAACAAGACTCAAGAAAATAAAAGTCATAGTTTCTCAGCTTCAAACATAGCTAATTGGATTTTTTTTCCTTCTCTAGGTTCAGTTGATATGTAAAGAAAAATCTTTTGTTCTTTGAACTAAAGATTTCAGTATAAAACAACACTAATCCTATACATGTATATATGTATGTATGTATGTTTGTTTGTATGTATGTGTGTGTATGTATGTATGTATGTAGAGTATAAATACAATGCTCTTCAACCGCTTGTGGTCTTCAGCATGCTTTTCCAGATCCTATTGTTTAGATTAGAGCAGGGCAGTTTTGGTATGTGTCAACAAAGATAGCATAAATTAAAGGTACAAGGTCATGAGTGTTTTGAGCCTCATAAACAATATCACTCAGCTTTTTGGTGGGGACATATATTGTCTTGTTGCAATATCTGGAATTTATCTTGCATTGGGATTTTTTTTCTTTTTAGGACTTATTAAAGTTGCGTGCCCAAGCAGCAAAGGAAAAACAAGCAAGGGAAGAGCTCCAAGATCAAATTAATGAAATTCAGGGTATTAGGCGATTTGATCCTTCTAAAGCTTTTCAGCATCCTAGCAAGGAAAATGTTGCTCCCAAAACACCCTTTAAAGAAAGTGAGTACTTATAAGTATCTTCTATAAATATTAGTAACTTGGGCCTGGGGAATTACCGTATTTGCCGGCGTATAAGACGACTTTTTTGCCCTGAAAAACATGCCTCCAAGTGGGGGGGTCGTCTTATACGCCGGGAGGACTCCGACTCCCACTTCGAGCTTGAGTTGCAGCCGGGAGGGAGGCTGGGGGGGGGGAGCGGTGTGTGTGTGTGTGTGTGTGTGGCGGGTGTCACTCGCCACGCGCTGCGCAACCTTTCCCCCTCTTCCTTCCTTAGCGGTGTGGGGAGGAGAGGATTCGAAGATCCTCACGTGCGGCGTACTTTTCTTTTTCTTTTTTTCTTTTTGCACGCAGGTTTTGCATGCGGGCAGCTGTAGGTTAAGGATGGGGGAGCCCCTGGGTGGGTTATCAGGTTTTACGGTGCTTCCAACATGTGCGAACGGTGGGAGAGCGGAGAAGAGAGCGAGCGAGCGCCCCGCTGTGTGAAATCCTGCCGTCAAAGCAACACTGGGGGAGGCAGGGTATAAATTTACCAGGTTAATGTAGCAATGGTGATTAATGCCCAGAACATTGTTTGCGGGTATTGGGGTGTGTGTGTGTGTGTGGTGGTGGTGAGGAGAGGTTGTCCTTTGAATGCGGAAAAGTAGGTGTGACCTTGTGTAGGAAAATAAAGAGATCCTTTTTAGCGTGTTTGGCTTCTTTGCCTCCCCTCGTTCGTTTTGACGTGGAGATAATGGCCTTCGGGCGGGAGGGGAAGAAAACGGTAGCTGGATCATTTCAAATTTCACTTACTCTCCTGCCTCACTTCAATATGTCTGAGCGACTCCAGATACTGGAAGACTTTTTGAATGAAAGTGTTACCTCCATTTTTTTTTTTTTAAAGAGGGCCACTTGGGGAAAAAAAAAGATTCTAAGGAATTCCTTGTTTCTTGATTAAAGAGAAGGCATTGAATATACTGTTCCTTGGCAGCCTTTTCAGTGTCCGGGTTTTTGGTGTGTGTGTGTGTGAGAGAGAGAGAGAGAGAGATCAGCTGTATTGAGAAGAGAACGTTTCCTGTGTTCTCATTTTATTTACAACATATTTTACGCTTAATGGTAAGCAATGAAAAATATTTTTAAAACTCATTTCTAAACTCCATAGCTATTTGCATATTCTTGGTTCAAAATTGGATTAGCTCATTTCAAAATTGTCCAAAGCAGAAAAGTGCGTCAAAAAAAAAAAAGTGCAAAAGTGGAAGGTGTGTGGAAGAGGGGGTAGTCTTATACGGCGAGTATATAACAAACTCTATATTTTGAGTGGAAATGTTGGGGGGTCGTCTTATACGCCCAGTCGTCTTATACGCCGGCAAATACGGTAGTTTGATGTATACATCAACTAGCAAAGTAGCTTTAATATGTTTATTCTTTTAAGCACTATCAATGTATTGTTTAATTGGTGCTTAATTAACATTGGCAGCAGTAATTCCAATTATTGGACAGATCAGAAATGCAATGAATATTAAATCTTCTGTAATTAAAATAATTTCAATTAACTTATCTTATTTAACAGGTAACAGAAACAAAAATCAAGCTGTTCTACACTGATCAAGAACAAATTCACACTTGATTCATCTTTCCAAGAAAGTATTGTCTACTGCCTTGTGTGCTCAAATCTATATTTCTACAATAGAAAGTTGTCTTTAAATATATATTTTAATACAGCAAGTAATTAGTACTTTTAAATTATCTAAAACACAAATGGCCGCAGCAAATTCTAAAAATATTAATAAGGTACAATTATCAAACATTTAAATGAAAACCTAGTAAGTTTTGTAGCCAACTCAGTGCACAAAAACCTAAGTGAAACTTCTTTAGATGCATACACAGGGTATGTTACATAGTTAAACTCTTGACTTTTGTACAGTATTTTAAAAATTGAAACAGTTGTTTCAATGATATAAATAGCTTATAGTTGTGGAAGTGCTTAGTCTTCAAACATCATACAACTCATAATTTCCCCTTTTTAAAATTATCATGCTAATTTTTTTCTTCTGAATTGAACTATGTATGATTGATTTTAAAGATTATTTGTCTGCATTAGGTTGTAGTAGTAGTTGGTTTTATTATTGGCGTATCATTTTATTAAAAGAAATTTATAAGACTCACAATTCCTAGATGCTTTCCTAAATCATATTTTAATTTTAGAATATGTAACTGTTATGTCCTTTAGTTTCCTATTGGTCTATGTCTTATTCTATAGACAGAACAAAGTGTGGGAAGTCCCCTCCGCCAGAATGAAATATTTTTGGGGATATTAAAAGAGGCAGAATATTGCATTTCCCCAAAGGAGAAATGGAGAAAAATCTTAACAAAGGCAGAAAGCAGCCCCAGTCTTCCTGTTATAACCTCAAACAGAAGTCTCATGTCTTTAGAGATGGATATTTTGTACCTATTAAGAAAACCAGCCTATCCTATTCATAAACAAAACGCCTTCAGCCCAGTTCCACCAGGCTGGAATTGATGGGATTAAGAATTTACATTCCCACACCCAAATTCTAAGGATAGGGCATGACCTTGTAGAAAGTTAGCACCCACCCCTCTCTTAGAAGAATGAAATATTCTAGGAAATAATAAAAAGGCAGAATATTATATTTCCTGGATGAGAAATGGAGAAACAATGTTTTTTAACACAGGAAGCAGATTCACTCTTAATACCCCCCTCCTCCTCAGTAGCCCACAGCAGATGTCCACACTTAAGAGATAAAGAGATGGGTCAGTTTATTCATAAGCAAATGCCCTCACTCAAGATCCTTCAGGGCTAGGCCATAATAGGAATTGCCCAAAGACCCTTCATTACATCACCCAGCAAGATTCAATCAAGCTTGGGACTCAAAACAAATCTACAATGTTACTCTGCATGGCCCAATGGGAGTCTGATAACCAATCAGGATAATTTCTTGTTACAGGAACAAGAAGCAAGTTCAAAGCCCAATAGAGGTTATAAATCTCTCTCCCTCTCTTACCCATGTGCATTTTTTGCCAAGGACTCAAATCGTGGTCCTGCTGTCCACCATTAAACCATCTTTCCAAGCAATCTCCATGTTTGCAGTGTCCTTCTTCCCACTTGGAACTGAACCCAGATGAACATTTCTTCCAACAACCTTTAGAACAGTGGTCGCCAACCAGTGGGCCGGGGACCACTGATGGTCCGTGAGAAAATTTTGGTGGTCCGCAGAGAAATGTCACCCCCTAAGCAATTAATCCAGGCTGCGTGGTAGCACAAGGCTGCGCCGCCCACATGACCCGCGGGAACACAAGGCTTGCATCGCTTGCATTATGAACAACACAAGGTAGTGGGAGGGGGGAAGGACTTGCCCCCTGCACCTGGCCTGGCCAGCGGGCTGCTCCTTTCTGCTTCTGCTTTTGGCTGCATGCAAGGAAAGCAGCAAAGAGCTTCCTTTCTCTATCCCAAACTCTGCTAGAAATGAGTCTTTGGGACCCTGCAAGGCCTCCTGCTCCAAGAGGCTGTGCTGGCAAAGACTCATTTCTGCAGGAGTTTGGGGGAGAGAAAGAAAGACTTCTGCTTCTGCTGCTTTCTTTGCATGAAGCCAAAAGTCTCTCACTCTCTCCCCCTGAAAATGAAGCTGGAGACGGTATCCTGTGATCCCAAATAAAGAACGATCAACTGATAAGAAAACGGGGTGGGGAATTTTCCTGCAGACTTTTTGGGGGGATTTTCCCAGGGTCTGGTCTGCGGGATTTAAAATTATGAGTTTGGTGGCCCCTGAGGTCCAAAAGGTTGGTGACCCTTGCTTTAGAACACAATAGGATTAACCCACCACCATTGGAATAGTAAAAGACACAAGCTCACTACACTGCACAACACTCTGCAGCATTTCAATCACCAAACCCCAGGACCTTATAAAAATCCACCCCCTCACCCAGCTAATTGATTAGCCATCCCAGAAACATGCTCTCACTGAAGTTTCTGGAAACCACATAAACAGACATTTCCTTCTACCCAGCCTCCATTTTATTTCCAGTGTTCTCCTGGCTTGGAACCGGACAGGATTTTTCTTCCAACAAAACACAAAATATAATTCTTATTAACTATTGATGAGAGAAGAGTCACTGCTTTTTGGTTAGTTCCTTTGGCTAGCCAAATAGCTTCCATCAGCAAAACAAACAAGGCAATTTTTTCCCCATCTATTTGACTACCCTGGGGAAATTCTTTATTTTCACAATACTGATGATGCTAAGTTTATTACTAACTTTACTGTGGAACTTATTACATTTCCATAAAGATCTATAAGAAGCCTTTGTGGTAAGGATCTCTGCAGGGCTGAATGTGATATGTTTTCAACATGTTGAAGGTTGAACTTCCTTGAATATTTCTTCTCTTTTTCTTTCTTTCTTAAATTTATATGGCCACACCCATCTCACAAGAAGTGACTGGACAGTGAATAAAAAAGTATACAAACAAATATGTCAATAGTGATAATTTCAAACTTGTTTACTGTGCAGTTTCTGAAAGCTTGTAATACAAAGTAAATTTAGTTTAGTTACAAAAATATTGAGGGCAGTCAGATTGAAACCTTATTTCAACAGCTGTAAGGCCGTAAGAAATTAATATCAATTTCACTTTCAATTGGATATATAAGAACTCACCAGGTTCCTTTTTACTTGCACATTAACCTACTTTAAACTGAGTGGCAAGTTTGTGCATGCTGTTTTTACGCATATTTTTAGTACATGCCCAGCACAGGTTACCTCATTTGCAAAGATTTCTGGCTTGGAGAATAAAGAAACTAAAGTCTGTCTTGCATACTAAACCAGCAGCGTTGTGCTACACTGATTCAAGTGCTTTGAGGCAAAGAACAAGCAGCAAGAAATTCAATTGATGGGGAGGCGAGGTCATGATGTTTTCATGTATTCTTTTGCCCTTCGACTCTAATATTTCCGGGATAGGAAAATGTATAAAGAGCGGTCCCTGGCTGCTTTCTCGGGTGGGTGGGTTTCTAAAACATATGTACTGCGGGGAATCCAGTTCAGAAAGTTAATCAGCACCCAAAGAAGCCAGCGAAAGCCTTTTCCGAAGACGAAAAGCTAGGTCGAGCTTGCCCCGCCCCTCTCGCCATAGCGCACGTCGTCCGTACGTCCGCAGTGAGGCGCTCCCTCTGAACCCCGCCTCCCACGGAGGAAAGGACCAATCCGCGGCTCGACTGGAGGAAAGGGGTGGGTTTGGGGTAACAGCCGCTGCCACAGACTGTAGCTGAATTCGGGCGGCGGCGTTGTTTACGGACCAAGGCAGGAGGGATGGTCGGGTGGGAGAAAGGGCTCCGCATCCATTTTGAGCCGGGGAGCTGCTGGCTCGAGGAGGTGAGGAAGGATTCTCAAGGCGTTCCCCCCCCTCCCTTCTCCCCTCCTCCTTCTCCGCTGGCTTTTCCGTGATAAACAAACTAGCCGCGCCTCCTCGCCCTTCTTCCAGCTCGACTGTACGGCTTTGGCGACGATTTCCTTGTTGCCTGCGGGGCTGACGACCCCCTAAAGGGGTCCTCGGGGCTGCAAATCTGGAGTTGGGTCGCAGATCTCCCTCTGTGCTCCGGGAGGGTTTCCTTCCCGTGCTTGTGTTTACATGACAGTTTTACCCCCTCCCCTTGCTGGTAATGTCTGAATGTATTGGACCCGGACGCCCATATTCTCCAGCCAGCATTAGTTACGGGGGAAGATTTTTCGAGCTTGGGGGTTCGAATCCAACTGTAGGGTGCCATGGTTGAATGAAAAATTGTAAACACACGGGGGAGCGAGCTGCAGAGGTACTTTCGTTGTTCCCGTTAGGACTGCGTGGGAGGAGAGTTGTTAAAATAAGCCATTCGCACACGTGATTGTTTAAAGCTGTTGAATAGCCTATCCGGAAAAGCGAACAGTTAAACTGTAAATATTGCATAAAGCTAAATATTCACAGTTCCATGATAATGGGCCTAGTAATCAATATTTCAGCAATGAAAATCCTAAAAGTAATGAAATCCTAAGGTTTTTTTTTTTCTCTAATGGTTGCTCTGGACAGACTTTGAGGCTCTTTCTCTTGACTGAGGGGGATAATTCATTTGCATCCCTCCTCTTCCTTACTTTTTGCCTAGCCTGAAGTAATCATTCCTAGTTCCTATGGTCACAAAAAGAAAGAAAAAGTGCTGGTTTTATTATTTGTCAAGTATTTGGGCTTTTTCTACTTCAGAGACAGACCCTGTGCTTGCTTAAACTGGTTTCAATGTTTGATAGGGATATGAAATTCCATTAACCCTTTGCTGATCAGCTACATTTTCAGAGCATTTTTGCCCTAACCCTAAATTTACATAGAACACCAGACAAATGGACTGATTAAAAAAAGGCAAGATAGAACTTGCTGTCACACCTAGCAATCAAAAAAGACAAGTCATGACAGGGAAAAAAAGAGTAAAGAAAAATCTCTCAGTATCAACGTTGTGTAATTCCAATTCATTATAAGCAATTGGAATTACAATTACTGTACATCAACTATAATTCCAGAAGCCTGCTAAAAGTCATTGATCCATCTGGAATGGAAATGCTTTCTGGAATAATTATAAGGAAGGTAAAACTTCAGCAGGACTTTTGGTAATTCTTCTCTTTCTTTAATTAAAGAATCTTGATAGAAAAACTACTGGTTGATAGGTAAAGAAAAGTAATTTTGTATTTCATTTTTTTAAAGAAATAACTCGCCTTGGAAAGATTTTTTCTTGACAGTTTAAAGTAGAATAAAAAGAACATAATTTTTTTCTGTTAACCTTTTCGTAGATATCAATTTCAGTCATATGCAATGAAAAGTTATAGTCATTTATAGTATGTTATCTTTCTGTAAGTGTGTTATCACTTAAACTAATCTGACTCATATTAATTTGATCCTGTTCTGTTATGACTCCATCAAATTTGTAATACAAACTTAGAGCCGGGTGTACATAATACGTTATCTTTGATATTTGAACTTTATTTACTACACAGATTATTATTGTAGCTGCTTATTCTGTGGCCTAAGTTCAATTGAATGTGTAAAAATAAGGGAAAGAGATATGCAGGAGGAGCATACAAAAAGTCTGGGGAAAACACTGATAATTTTATATGACTATAGATCATATTTTCTTTTCTTAGGAAGATGTTGATATCCCCAATAGACGTGTCCTGATTACTGGTGCCACTGGACTCCTTGGCAGAGCTGTTTATAAAGAATTTAAAGTAAATCATTGGCACACTCTTGGCTGTGGCTATAGTAGAGCTCGACCTTTGTTTGAACAAGTTAATCTTTTAGATACTGCTGCTATTCACAGTGTAATCCAAGATTTTCAGGTGAGAATTTTTAAAAGAAAGGAAATGTTTCTCATATTGTTCAAAATTTCTCAATAATTTAGCTGGTTTTCCTAAATACTAGCATATCCTATTCATTATGTAGCATGAATATTTGCTTTTAAACAACTGGGACTTTATTTTTTTAAATGATTTAATTAGAAAAAATGATGCTGCAAAAAAGTAGTCTTTTATTGAATTTATTAAAAATAGGTTCATATTGCTAGAATATTTACTTCATGTTGTATGTTTGAAATTATTTGGAATGGAACAAGGAAATAAGGAAACTACTAAAAAGCGAAAGAATTTTGGAAGGATAAATATTGTATACATTCTGGGGGATCTCGGCTAAATTAGTGTTTCAGCAATATAACATAAAGTTTTACGTAGATAAAGGGTATTTAAATGAAAGTTCAATGAACTTACTAATATGTCTATATCTTTGAATGAACTTACTAATGTGTGTATATCCTAGCCTCATGTGATAATACATTGTGCAGCTGAGAGAAGGCCAGATATTGTAGACAGTCAACCAGATGCTGCTGTTCAACTCAATGTGACTGCTTCAGGAATTATAGCAAAAGAAGCAGGTAAAAATTGTTGATTTTTTTTTTAAAAAAAGGTTAAATTATTATCTTCTATAGTGTAGATAATTTGACCAGTGTTGAAGAATTACTATCAGTTAATGTTTTATAATATGGTTTGTTAAAAGAGGAATGTAGAATCTGCTGATTGCTATTTTAAATAGAAGGTGTTTGATACGATTCAGCAAGTTTCTACGTTTCTAATAATTTACTAAAGAACTAAATGCCAGATGGAATAGTCCCTTAGTGACACATTTAATTATGATAAATGTATTTCAAATTTAGCTCAAGTGGAAGCATTTCTGATCTACATTAGTACAGACTATGTATTTGATGGAACAAACCCTCCATACAAGGAGAATGATGTACCAAATCCTCTAAATCTCTATGGCAGAACCAAACTAGAAGGTGAAAGAGCAGTCTTAAAAAACAATGAAGGTAAGTTTATTTTTGGGTACGCATTTCCCTTTCTCTCTTTTATTGTTTTATAGCAGTGAGATACAATAAAAACAATAAATGGTTTTATATATACATATATATGTATGTATGTATGTATGTATGTATGTATGTATGTATATACATTCATACATATACATACACACATATATACGTATATACATATATATGTGTGTGTGTGTGTGTGTGTATGTATGTATATATATATAACATATATTTGTTTTCTTAAGTTTTCGCGGGTACTTACATGTATGGTATTCAGCTTTGTTCGGGTATTTTCCCACATCATTGTAGTTGTACTTTTAAAGTTGTAGCAACGTTTCGGCAGAATCTCATCTGCCATAATCAGGCTTCTATATTGTGTTATTACACACACACACACACACACACACACACACACACGTACATATGTGTGTGTGTGTGTATAATAATGTGGTTTAATGAGCTAAGTAGAAAGGAAGGGGAAATCCAAATAATATTAATACAAAAGTAGCTCAGGCCTTAGACACCTGCACCATATCAAAATGTATTTTGACATATTTTTAGTAAGATTTGAAAAAGGATTCAAGAGCCAATCTTTTGAACTCGTTGACACCTAGAATGTTGTTTTATTTTCATCTACCATGATTAATACTCCGCAAAGTGTGAAATTCCATATTTTTGGAATGTTAATTCAGTATCACTTTTATCTCATTAACTATTACGTCCCGTTCCCCCCGCAAGTTTATGTTTACAGATTTGATGGGAGTCAGAACCGAACAGGACCAAATCAAAATGAGTCAGATTAGTTTAAGTGCTAACATACATACAGAAAGAATCTGATAACCATCCTTTTCTAAAATATTCTTTGGAAATTCCAGTAAATAAGATTTCTTTTTTATTAATTAACATCTAAGTCATAAGACGTTTTGCTTCTTGGATGAGAATGTCTTCAAAGAAAAAACAAGTCAGTTGTGTCTTGGAAAAGCACCTTTGCAATAACCATGACCTGGATGACTTAGAATCTCCATCGACTTTTTGCTGGATTGGATGTGCACATAAGAATCAGATTGCTATGTTCTTAGGGGAAAAATTTAAGGAATGGAAGAATGCTACATAAACAACTGTATTATGGCTAACTGAAAATTAAAGGCAACATACTCTGAATAAGTTGTGCATTTCATAGATCCAGAATGGCAAACCTATGGCACATGGAGCCGTTTGTATGGGGACGCGAGCCCCAGCCAAACTTACTGCGCATGCGCGTCTCCCAGCTGATTTTTGGCCCATGTGAGGCCTTTTTCGGCCTCCCTGAGGCTTGGGGGAAGCCTCTGCATCCTCAGAAGGCCGAAAAATGGGCCTTCCGGAAATACTGGAAGTGCCAAAACTGGCCCATTTTTCGGCCTCTAAAGGCTGCAGAGGCTTCTCTCAAGCCCCCGGGAAGGTGAAAACTCCCCTGGGCTCCAGCAGCCCTCTGGAGGCTGAAAATGGGCACTTCCAGTATTTCTGGAAGGCCCGTTTGTTGCCCTCCCAAGGCTGCAGAGGCTTCCCTTGGGCCTCAGGGAGGCCAAAAAAGATCTCAAATGGGCTGAAAATCAGCCAGGAGGCGCGTGCATGAGCATTGAGGTAAAAGGCGCGGGGGTGTTGCGCGTGAATGCACGGGGGCAGAATGCTTTCAGCACACCACGCCAAACAGATTCGCTATCACTGACATAGATATTAGAGGAAAGGCTGAAATGAAATGAGCAGCTACAAAGACTTTGTATTTTGAATTTTTAAATGATATTTCTTGTATATATTTCAGAATATGTTGGATTTGCAAGCTCATGTTGGTACTTTCCCAAATATTATTATATTAACAATACTGCACTATGAGATATTTTGTTGTCAAAGTTATCATGGGAAACAAAGCTGTCTGGAGGTCATTTTGACAGTTGAAATTATTCTAGTAAACATTGCCAGTAGCAATTTCCAGCCCTTTTTTTTTTTGTTCACATACCTTATGTGAAATAATTTGGCTTGTCCCAGTTAAATCTGTCCCTTTTCCATTTTTTCTGTTGATGTGAATGAAGTTTACAGCATGATGGGCAATTGCATGCACATGTATTTTGATTTGTGTAACATTTTTTTCTTTTCTCTTAGGTGCGGCCATCCTTAGAATCCCTATTTTATATGGAGAAGTTGAAAAGCTGGAAGAGAGTGCTGTGACAATTATGTTTGATAAGGTGCAATTCAATAACAAATCAGCCAATATGGACCACTGGCAGCAAAGGTTTCCAACATATGTCAAGGATGTAGCCATTGTTTGCCGACAGCTAGCTGAGAGAAGAATGATGGTAAGAACTTTCTTACAATGTATTATATCAAGGTTTGAAGTACTGCTTCACATGTTCAGTGTCTACAAATAATTTTTTTATGTATTTGAGGTTTCAAAAATATATGCAGACTTTCCAGAACCGATAATGTGTATCTGATTGCAGTGCAACATGAACAATGTAATAAAGTTCTGATTAAAACATGTAGAATACTTATACAAGAACACGTTAAAATTTTCAATACCCATGTATGATGCTATAGTTGTTCTAAAGATTGAGATAATAGGTAAATATTCCTATGGTGGCAGAACAATGTTATTGTTAGAAGATGTGAAATAAGTATAGAGATTTTTTATGTTTATCTGAAAAAAAACAGATGATTTAAAATTTTAAACAAAAATCACTTTTATCAACTCCTCTTTCCCATGTATGTCTAGACATTCTGTGTTTTATTTGCCAGCTTTGAAACATTTTAAAAAATATATAGCTGTGATTACACCTATCTTTCTGATGTTTGTTATATTTATGAAGCTTCCTGCTGTCAATCTAACTGTGTATCCAGAAGCTGTAATCATTTAACACATAGTCATCATATAATCCCAACCAAGGCTTAACTTTTAATATTCAGAGGGTCACTTAGATTTTTTTTAATGTTGCCTTGTATTAATGCATCTTTTTTAAAAAAAAAAGTTTTATTAATTTTTAAAACACACAAATTATCGTTATTCATTACATGTTTAAACCTTTTTTCATTGTAAATTTAACAAGTCAGATAAATTATGATTCTGTTTTAAACCATTTCCATATAACATACCAAAACCTCTTATTCAATTTCTCTTTACTTCTCTTTACTCTTATTCAATATCATTATTATTATTTCATCTGTTTCTTTCTGACTTAGTTACCATTATTCTCATTCTATATTTCTACAAGTTTTTACTAATTCTCCCCCCCAAAAAGACATATACACACAACACACAAAACATAAAAAAAATCTTTTTGGAAAGTAACTTGGACCCAGGTGTCTCTCTCTTCATGGACTTCAATTATATTCATGCTCATCTTACATATCATTACTTATTTTATTTACCATTCTAAGCCTTCTATATTAACTTCTCCACATATTTCACCCTTCTTAATTCTATCTTAATTAATCATCTTAGTTTGAATCATTATATTTGTATCTTTTGTCCATTTTTTATCATCCCTTTGTCTCATTCCTTATAAAAAAGAAGAAAATAAGTTTCTCCTGAAATCATTAATCAGAGTATGATGCCTTTCTATCTCCCCCCTAAGTTAATCAAATTAATCTTTAAAATAATATCCAATACCCAATCCGATTTTGCTTGGTACATTCTATCTAACTAATACATCCAACATAATTAAGTACATAATTAGACAATAAATCCAAATATTAAAAAAAGATACTATAATAAAAATTTTATAATAACATCAATACCATAATCTTATTAAACTCTTTAATTAAAACAGTATTCTAAACCTCCCCTATTATTAAATTTTAAAGCCAATCATTTTTAAACATTTAAACATTTTAATCTCTTATCAACTCTTAAACCATTACAATACTACCATCTCATCTTATGTACCTTGCAAAATCTTTTTTTTTAAAAAAAAATTATACTTTATCCATTATCCATAAAAAATTCCTTTTTTTCATTTAATTTCAAAACATTGTAGCTTTTCTCCACCTTTTCCCTTTCTTTCTTCTCCCAACAAACCTTTCTACCCCCCCTTCTTCTAGCCTCTGCCTTACCGGCTTCCCTTCTCTGTCGTATTCCTTTTCCCTTTTGTTTACTATCATCATATTGGTTTTGCACCTTATTTTTCCCTTTCTTAAATGTTTTTTTAGATCTTAAGTCCTTAAGTCCTTTAGTTTTCTTCTTTTCTCTTCTTTTCTTTTCTTTCTCTCTTCCTTCTTTCTTGATCAAATTCTGAGATTCATTAAAAATGGCTCCTTCCTTTCTTTCTTGTTCCTCTGCTGTCTTCATCTGTTGTAATGTTTGTTGATAGTTAGTAAGCGCCATTTCTAAAAAAAGGAAAGCTTCTTCCACACCATCTTTACCATTTTTTTTTGCTTGTTCATATTCTTTTCTTAGTTCCTCAACAGAAAGAGCCATTATAAATCTTTTCTTTTCTTTTCCCCTTCTTTCTTCTTACAACAACCAGAATATTCAAAAGAAAATAAAAAAAATAAAACAGTCCCAAAGTTATCAATCAGTCCAAACCAAGGCAGAGTTCTCACTTTCTCCTTCTGGGGTAATATCAATCAAAGAGAAAGAAAGTCCAAATCTGTTTAAAATCCTATTGCAATATATTCTAGTCTTCAAATCCTTAAGGCATCTGCTCCAACAAAGTCTTAGCATACAAATATTTTCTTTTTAATCCTCTCTCTTCCCACTCATCGCTTAAAACCAATTTTCACCTAAAAAAAATAGGTTTCTTAATATCCAGTTATTTATTCCGTAGGAAAAGAGGGAAAGCTATCCTTTCAGCACCTTCAAACAGCCGCTTTTTTCCTCTTCTGGCAGGTATTATTCAGAAAGTCATACTTTTCAGGAATTTTATTAAATATGTCTTAGAGTCCTAGGAGCCAAGAAAAACTTTCTCCTCTCAAGCACTTTCTCCACTTCCTCCTGCGCATTCTTACCCGGCTGCCAGCTTCTTTGTGGCGGCCATTACAGACCGCCGCTGCACCGTCCTGGGAAAAGGGGGTTCTGCCGGCCGGGGAGGGGGTCTGCAACACCCCCAAACCCCTCTCCGGATCCCCCCTACCTTCAGCTGCCCCTGCAGGGCAGCCTAGCTCCATACCCGTCTGGGTCGGAGCCCCAGAAGCGGCTAGCGCGGCAGGGATCGCGCAGCTTCGCAAATCCCTGCCGCTCGCGAAGCCGACAAACCGGAAGTTATTGTTGCAAATAAACTCTAACAATTCAAGATGTATTAATGCATCTTGAATTGTTAGAGTTTATTTGCAACAATAACATCAAAACCAGTTGTAAAACAGCTGCAACTATTACTTTGGAGAAGATGAGTACATTGAGTTTTTTTCTAGTAACACTATTGTGTACAAAGTAACATGTATAGTAATTATTACATTATGTAGCAGAAAAATATGTTCTAATAATGCAAAAAAAACCAAAACCCAGTACATTGAATTAAATGTTGCTTCTGATATTTAGTGACTTCCCACAAAGCCTGTAATTTATATGCCCCTTCCTGGAACTTTTTAGCATAGGAAAATCGAAATGAATTCAAATTGTATGTGTTTGTTGCTTTTCCAAGGATCCATCCATTAAGGGAACATTCCACTGGTCTGGTAATGAACAGATGACTAAGTTTGAAATGGCACGTGCTATGGCTGATGCTTTCAATCTTCCTAATAGCCACTTAAGACCGGTAAGTAATTAATCGGAATGAGCTAACTTGTAATTGGTAAACATTTGTCATTTGTTTTGCTATGAAATGTTAACTTTGAGATGTATGAACTGTAAACTTTAAAGATAACAAAATAGGCTGGTATTGAAATAGAAGTTTGATTTATATGATTAACATGATCTGTATGACTTGTATGATTTGAATGTATTTGTCTATTAGAGCACTGTCTTTTTTTTTTAAACAATTTTATTGATTTTCAAAAACAATACACAAACAAACAAAACATAAAACATAAAAACATAAAACATCTTTTCTGAAAGCTGCTTGATCCCGGGTTACAACTCTTCGTACAGACACAAATTCAAATGCATATTCATTTTACATACCATTCCATATCTTATTACCATTTTCAATTTTCTATATATCTTCTCCCCTCTTTTAACTTTCTTAATTTTATTTTATTTATCTCATCTCAGTTCAAATCATAATACTTATTATTCTTTGTCTGTTCTGTTTCCAGCTATCCATTTATCTTTTCTCTTTAAACAAAACTTCTCCTGTACACTGATTGGAGTATGACGCCTTTAACTCTTTTCCCTAAATTTATAATACTTAATATAATACATAACTTGCATTGGGATTCTGTTTAGTACATTCTAAAATTACACAATGTATTTTATAAGAAAAACAAACAAAAAGAAAAGAAAAAATGTTATAGGTATATGATGTAATTAAAAAACTATCAATGCCAATACAAATCTAATCATAAATATTAATATTCATTTATATCTTAAACATTTTACACGTTACTTTTCAATTAAATATCATACTTTTATGGGAACACTTATACTTTCCATAGTTATTTCCCCCCCCACATCACATATTTTAAATCATTATATCATTAAAATGTTCCCATTTCTCCTACTTCAATTCTCTCATTTATTTCATTACCTTCTTTTTCTTCACAAAGATTTCACTGAATTACACTAAATGTTCTATCCCATTTTTGGTTACATGTTGTTTCCAATTTTCTAACATTATTTTTAAATACAAATATAAAAATACAATCTTATGTACTTTTACAGAATCCCTTTTTCAATTAAATTTACCCATTGTCTCTAAATGAATTTTGTTTCTTTACATCTTGCTCCCCACCATTGAGGCTTCTCATCCCTTCCTTTCTCCTTTGCTTATTCTTCTCCTTGCCCTTTTTACCCCCTTGTCTCTCCACCTCCCTTTTCCTCTTCTGCTTTCCCCCTTTCTGTTGTTTTCTAACATTGTATCCACTTTTCACCTTTTTCTCTTTCTTGGTCCCCTTTTTCTTTTCCTCTTTCTCCTTTCCTTCCCCAAATAGAGTCACTTGTTCATCAAAGATGGCTTCTTCTTTATCCCAGTCATCCTGCTGCGCAGTCAGTTTTTCATAAGTACAAACCGCCATTTCTAGAAATTGAAAAAGTGTGTCCAAAGAATCTTTCCCTTCTTGTTCTTCTTTTTTGTATTTTTTGTATTCAATTTTCAATTCATCCACAAGTGATGCCATTGTAGAGAGAAAAAGTTTTTCCAAGACAACCACCCAAGTGCTTTTAATCAAAAATAATTCCCAAAAGTTCCAAAGTCACCAAACAATCCAAATAAGCTGTTTCTTTTAGTACTTTTGTCTTTCTTCCGTTTCTCTTTCTGGGGTTACTATTTAGTCACAAAGTTCCAATTAAGGTATATCTTTTAGAAGTCTTATTAATATTTAATAGCTCTTTAGAATTCTAGGCAATCTCCTCCTTATTTTCAAATTCTGCTCCAATTTTTTTTTCCTCTCCCTTTTCACTTACAGCAAAAAAGATTTTTTTTTTAAGTATTCAGAAATCCTTGTTCCTTTAATTACCTCCAATGCGGGTTTTCCGATTTCTCTTGCAGTTCCATTCACTGTCACGTTAGGAAGGAGAGTGAAAAGAAAAAAAAAACTTTTCCTTTTAATTTCCATTCGCTGCTTGTAAAGCTCTGGAAACGATGTATCTTTAGCAAATTTTAAGTTCCAGGATACTTTCGTTACTTTATCCCGGTCAGCAAAAAACACTTTCACTTCTTCACAGCTCCTCCTGCACTTTCTTTTTCCGGCTGAGCTCTTCTATGTGGCGGCCATTTCTGACCGCCGCTCAGCTGCCTTCGGAAAAGAGGGTTTAGGGAAGAGAGGTGCGATATCTCTCAACCCTGCCAGATCCCCCCTGTCTTCGCCACCTTCTACGGAGGTGGCTAGCCCCGAAGCCGGATGGCTCGGGCAGCGAGCGCCGGCAGAAACCGCGCACAGTCGCGGATTCCTGCCTGCCCCGAAGCGCTGCAAACCGGAACTCCCACTAGAACACTGTCTTAAGGAGATTGTGGGTATAAGAAATAAAAAAGGAGGCTTTCTCCTTCTTTAATTTGAAATAACTTGATGGTATAGTTATCTTGACTAAATAGGATTATTGGGTTAAGGAACGTAGTGATAAATAATCTTAGAGTTTTTAAGAGTTTTTATTAAGAGTTTAAGAAGAATATATATTGTTGTGCGTATAGATAATCTAAACCTTGACCTCTTTTTTATTTTATAAAGGAGAAACTACAATACATTGTGTATAGAAAGAAATAGAAAAGGGGTGTTTGAGTAAGATATATAGAGATACATGCAAATATAGATCTTTCAATTGGTAAATTGAAACCCTGACTACTGGATTACTGCTCTAAGTTAAAAGTGAATTAAGAAATTAAAAAGGGGGTTTTCTGTCGTTTCTTCTCTATTGGGATGATATTTGAGGTTATAATTACTTTGATTAAGTATTGTATTTTGAACTAAGGAAATATAGTGATAAATAAGTTTTGATTACAATATTAAGAGATTAAGGGGAGTCTATAGGTGATTATATATAAATAGAAATTAGATTCCCCCTTTTATTATAAATAAAAGGAAAAAAAGAATAAACTTAATACTTTGTGCATAAGGAAAGGCAGGAGGGCTTTGTCTGTGTAGGATATTGTTAGATATATAGTGATATTGACTTTGAAATAGAGAAAGGGATAACAAGTGGTGCTAATTCTATATAATTCTAATAAAAGAGATTTGAAAAGAAAAAGGAATAAATTGAAAGTAAGAGATTAGTTTAAAATATATTGTAAAGGAGATAATAAAATAGGTAGAAATAAATAGAGCTTGAAAATAAGACAAGTGCCATGACATCAGCCTGGAGAATGGCAAAGAACAGGGGTCCCCAACCGCCGGTCCGCGGACCGATACCGGTCCGCGGAACAAGTCTTACCGGGCCGCTGGTTGCTGGGCGCCGCCATCTTTTTTTGGTAAAAAAGTGCTTCCGGTGAGCTTTTCCGGGTAGAAAGCTCACCAGAAGCACTTTTTCATCAAAAAAAGATGGCGGCGCCAGTGCTTCCAGTGAGCTTTTCCGGGTAGAAAGCCATTTCTACCTGAAAAAGCTCACCGGAAGCACTGGCGCCGCCATCTTTTTTGACAAAAAAGTGCTTCCGGTGAGGTCACCGGAAGCACTTTTTCGTCAAAAAAAGATGGCGGCGCCCAGTTGATGCCGGTACCGGGCTGCGGCGCCCAGCTGATGCCGGTACCGGGCCGCGGCGTCAAAAAGGTTGGGGATCACTGGCAAAGAAGACAACATCTAGTCCAACATTGACAATTACATCACCTGCTGGTCAAAAGACAATTGAAGGAATGTCAGGAGTAGAAAAACAAACTGTAGCCAATATGCAAACAATACAGGCTTTGTTAATGACCATTCAAGAAACCATGCTTGAAATGCAAGAACAACAGATAAAAATGCAAGAGAATATTTCTCAAAATCATATGGAATTGAAAGGCAATATTAAATAAATTAGAAGTCAAAGTTGATACTATACAGCAAACAATGCAAAAGAACGAGCAGAAACTAGAAGAGGTGGAACTTAGAACAGTACAAAATGAAAAGAAACTGGAACTAATGGACAACAGGATGATGACAATAAATAAAAGATTAGAAGAACAGATTATCCACCTAGAGATGGACCGCGCTGCCTATTACGAGGTTTCAAAATATCATTGAAAGTAGAGATGAAGATCTGAATGTGCTTATGGCAGAATTACTTGTGCCAGCTTTATAAAGGGAGACCCGAGAGATCCTGCTAGAAGTTGATGAGGCCTATAGAGTTCAAACGAGTTATGCTCGACGTAACAGGTTACCCAGGGAAGTCCACATGCGATTTGCCAGGAAACAAGTACGTGACATAATATACAAGATAACGCGAGACAAACCTTTGGCTTATAAAGATAAAGAAGTACAAACCCTGAAGCAGGTTCCCAAGAAGGTGCGTGAACAGAGAAAAGAGTATAAGTTTTTGGCAACACAATTTATCCAGAAGAACATAATGTTTCGATAGTTAATTCCAGAAGGCTTGTTGGTGACATGGCAGGAAAAGAGGATCAGGATAGATAACTTAGACAAGGCGCAAGATTTCTATGAGCAGATTGGAGGAACAGAAGAAGAAAGCAGCGGTAGAGAGGAGCTAGAGACAGAAAGCCAAGAAGAACAATAACAGCAAGATACAGGAGACCTAGAACAAGAAGGAGAGAACAAGGAGGAGACGGAAGGAAGAAGATTAAGAACACACCCGCAAAGAGAGACTAGAATTAAAAGAAGACAGATAATATCCCACAAGTAGAAAGACGGAAATGGAAATGAAGCTATTATCATTAAACATAAATGGTCTAAACTCACCCATTAAAAGGAAACAGATACTATCTAGATTAGTCAAACATAAATTAGAAATAGTATGCCTGCAAGAAGTTCATATTAAAAAACAATTCTGGAAATGTTTAGAATATCCTAAATTAGGAAGGTTATTTGTTGCCCTAGCAGATCAAAAACAGAAAGGGATAGCGGTATATGTTAAAAAAGAAATTAAGGCAGTAGAAAAATATGTAGACCCACAAGGGAGAATTTTGATACTTGAACTAGAATTAGGGTACAAGCCAATGTTATTAGTTACAGTTTTTGCGCCAAATGACAACCAAAGTCAATTCTATAAGGATTTACATGAGAGAATCGTTGAGATGGGACAAGATAATGTATGCACTGTGGGAGATCTTAATGCGGTAGTAGATATAAGGAAGGATTATTTTAGTAATGCAAAGAACAAAAAGAAAAGGAAAATTTTGCCCAGATCCTTTTTCAATGACACAGGCACTAAATTTGATAGATCAATGGAGGAGAATAAATTTGGGGAAAAAAGAATTCACGTTCTACTCTAACCCACACAAATCGTGGTCTAGATTAGACATGGCGTGGATGAACGCAGAACTAGGAAACCAACTAGATTCGATAGAGATTACGACAAATGTATGGGCTGATCATAACCCATCAAAAATAACTTGGAAAGGAAGGAAAAGGAAGAGTAGAAGGTGGATACTTAATCCCCAAATTTTAAAGGAGAAAGGTTTTGTAGAGAAAATTAAGAAATGGAACTTTTTTTTAAGGAAAATACAGTGGAGCAAACATCATTACAGAATTTATGGGATACAGCCAAGGCAGTCTTGAGGGGGCTAATAACAGCATATACAGCGAAAAGGAATAAGGAAAGATGGCAAAATCAGAATAAATTACAGGAGGAGATTAAAGACCTAGAAAGTAGATTACAAAAAAACAACAACACAAGATGAAAAATTGAGGAGAGAGATGATTCTTACTAGGCATAAATTGAACATTCTAAATCAGGAAGAGAGTTAAAGAGGTGAAAAGGGCAAAACAGAATTTTTTCGAACATGCAAATAAACCAGGGAGGTGGTTAGCCCATAAGTTAAGATTAGAAAGAGAAAGAAGGTTGATACAAGAATTGGAAGATGATGATGGAAAATTAGAATATCGAATGACTGAGAAAAAGAAAATAGTACAAAAATATTTTGAACAACTATATAGGGAGGATGGAATAAACTCTGAGAATACAGAACAATATTTGAAAAGGAAAGGTCTCCCAAAAATTAGAGAGGAACAGAAAGAGATATTAAATAAAGAAATAACAGTGATGGAATTGAAAAGGGCGGTTGAAAGGCAGAAAGATAATAAGACGCCAGGGCCGGATGGTCTTCCAGCGGAACTGTACAAATGTATTTATGAATGTCTTGAACCAGTGATGTTAGATGTGTACAACGAGGTATTAGACTTTGCTAAATTACCCGATTCATGGAGAGAAGCGAATATCTCACTAATTCCTAAAGAAGATTTAGATCACAAAGAGATTAAAAATTATAGACCAATCTCACTCCTGAACTCAGACTATAAAATATTTGCAACAATAATGTTGGAAAGACTAAAAATTATATTAAATGAACTTATTCATATTGACCAGAACGGTTTTCTAGCTTCTAGACAGATAGGGAACAATATAAGGATAGTATTAAACGTATTAGAATACTATGAGGCCCACCAGGAAAGCAGGCAGCGTTGATTTTCTTGGATGCTCAGAAGGCCTTCGACAATCTCAGCTGGCAGTTCTTGATCCAACAGGTCGAAAATATGGGATTTGGATCTAAATTCAAGAAAATGATTGGCACAATTTATTCGAACCAAAAAGCTAGGGTAATTATAAATGGGGAGATTACTGAAAACTGTAAGATTATGAAAGGTGTTAGGCAGGGATGTCCAATGTCATCTCTGCTTTTTATCTTGACCATCAAAGTGCTTTTAAATCAGATTAGACAAAGAAAGGAGATAATTGGACTGAAGAGCAAAAAAGAAGAATATAAAGTACAGGCGTTTGCAGACGACAGTGTATTTTGTGGAAGATCCAATGGAATCAGGAACCTATCTAATCCAAGAATTAGAAGAATATGGGGCAGTAGCAGGACTAAAAATTAATAAAGATAAAACAAAAGTAATAACCAAAAACTTGTTAGAAAGTAAAAAAAAAATTGGAAAGGAAATTGGGACTACAAAATGTCAAAAAACTTAATTTGGTTAACAGGAAGATGCTCTTCCGTAAAAGAGGATAATTATATGAAATTACTTTGACAGATAAAGAAAGATCTGGCCAATTGGGGAAAATTACAACTATCACTATTAGGCCGAATAGCGGCCATAAAAATGAACATACTACCGAAACTATTATACTATTTTCAAACAAAACCTATAAAATTGGATAAGAAATTTTTTCAGGAATTAGATAGGACGGTAATGAAATTTATATGGATGGGGAAAAAAGCACGAATAAAATTGAAAATGTTACAAGATAGTAGAACCAGAGGCAGCCTTGGACTCCCAAAATGGGAAACATATTATCAAGCAGCAATTTTACTATGTGTTAAGGAGTGGATAAACTTAAAAAATAAAAGAATTTTGGTGATAGAAGGTCATGACCTCCAAGTTGGGTAGCATGCCTTTCTATGGGATAAAAAGAATAAGACCGACTCCTATTTCCATAGACATTTGATAAGGGACTCACTTTTACAAGCATGGGAGAAAATAAAAAAAAGTATTATTTGAAAAGACCAAACTGGATCTCACCTATGGAAGCTATATTATATCCAAATACAAGGGACACTAAAAAAATGATTAGATATAAAGAATTGGTAGATGAACAGGGGGAATTAAAAACACTGGATAAACTAAAAGAACAAGGGATAATATTAGACTGGTTGGTATATTTGCAAATTCAAACTAAATTTAAGAAAGACGTAAAGGAGCTAAGGATAGATAAAGATTTACAAAAATTGGACCAAATCTTGACAGGCAAGGATATAAAATTTATAACATGAACATATAATTATTTACTGGAGGTAGAACTAGAGGAGGAAATTATTAAGGGTCCAATGATTTCCTGGGTGAGAAATGTGGGTCATAATATAAATTTGGATGAGTGGGAAAAGACTTGAACCGAGAACTGGAAGCTGACTTTGTCAACGGCATTCAAAGAAAATCAATATAAAATGTTTTGTAGATAGCACTTAGCGCCGGCACGACTGGCGAAAATGTATCCAACCTTGAAATCAGAATGCTGGAAGTGCAAACAAAAGAAAGGAACGTTTTTCCGTATGTGGTGGCAATGTATAGAAGTCAAAAAATACTGGAAGAAAATACAGAAATGGCTTTTTGAGATTACAAAATATAAATTGAATTTGGAACCCGAAATGTTTTTATTAGGTATGATCAAAGGGAATTTGAGTAAAGATAAAAGATACCTTATTGTACACATCTTAACTGCAACAAGAATCACGTTAGCACAAAATTGGAAGAGTGATAAAATACCACCAGATGAAGTTTTGATTCAAAAAATAATGGACTGTGCTGAACTAGATAAATTCACTATGGAACTGAAAGGCAAAGAGGATCGAGAATACTGTGCGATGGGAGAGGTGGTACGAATGGGTGAAGGATAAGGATAAAAATAATGTATAGTCACAAAATAAGAAACATGTATATACAATGACACAATAACTGTTAATGGAAATGAGATTTTTGCATCTTTTTGTTTTTAAAGAATAATAATAAAAAAGAAATGTTAACTTGAGGAATAATTGCCCTTTATCTAATGAAATTTTGAAATTGATAATCCAATTATTCGATTTTCCTTTCACTCTTTGGGAAGCAATATTTGTTTTTGTCCCTGCAATTTTAAGTAATAACCGTACAACAATGTAACTCAGAAATTTCAGCTGCAATTAAGATGCTATGTAGAAAGGATGAAAAAATGCTTTCTGATTATAGTTTCTTATAGCTCAGTGAGTGACTATCTGAATTGTCCTTTTACGTTGCCTTTTATGTAAATACTCACTTAAATGATTACATGAAGGCAAGTGCAAGGAATTCTAGACACCTTAGGGCCTGGAAAATTAGAAAAGAAATACTTTAAAGCATATCAAATTTATCAAATCTAGAAATGAATTCCTCTCTGTCTCTTCTTTCTGCCTCTAGTTTCCTAGTAAAGTTAAAATGTAAGGTAGAGGTAGAACTCACAACCAAGCAAGAGTGTAGTTAAGTGAGTGTAGTTAAGTGAGTTTTGCCCCATTTTACAACTTTTCTTGTCACAATTATTAAGTAAATCACTGCAGTTGTTAAGTTAGAAACACCGTTGTTAAGTGAATCTGGCTTCCCCATTGACTTTGCTTGTCAGAAGTTTTGTGATCACATGACACCGGGATGCTGCAACCATCATAAACATACACCGGTTGCCATGTGTCCAAATATTCACATAACCACAAGGGTACTGCAACAGTCATAAATATGGGAAACAGTCATGTCACTTTTTTCAGTGCTGTTATAACTTCGAATGGTCCTTAAATGAATGATTGTAAGTCGAGCACAACCTATAGCAACTTTTGCTTGATTTACAGTAGGCTCCCTTTAGAAGCTTTTTTTTCAGAAGACACAAATGACTTTAATGTCTGCATGTATCTTTGATTCAGTGACTAAAACTTGGATAGAAGTTTCGGCAAATAATTTGTGGTTCTGTTTTGCACTTTTTGCAGATTTCAGGATTTCTTGCTGATATTATTACAATATTACAGTATGGGAGAGAAAAATGGTTTGGGGATGGGGGAGAGAGGACCCTTAGAAACAACTGCATTTTGGTTTTCTTTTTATTTTGAACAATAAGTACATTGGTCTTTTAAATTAAAGATTACAGATAGCCCAGTGCTGGGTGCTCCTCGTCCTAAGAATGCTCAGCTTGACTGTTCCCGTCTTCTGATGTTGGGCATTGGTCATCATACTCCGTTTCAAGTTGGGATCAAGGAATCACTTTGGCCTTTCCTTACTGACAAGAGATGGAGACAGACAGTGTTCCACTAGCTTGTAAATATTTTAGTGTAAGTATGGTATATGATGCACTTTTTTAAAAAGGGGAGAAAATAGTTTTGTATTCAGCATTCTGTGTTTCAAGTTGAATCAGGTAAAAAATATGGTCTTGCACTAGTGAAATTGTAAGAAGTGTTGATAAAAAAATTAACCTTGTTTGAAGCTGTTAATATATGTTTATGTTTATTACTGGCTTATAAAGATCTAGTGAGCTACAATTATTGCAGTCATCAGTAATATGGAAGGAGAATGTTTCCTCTCATGCAATTTTTGTGTTTAAAATTGTTGGATAGAATCTCTCTGCATTTTTTTTGTGGATCACTATAAATAAACATTTTAATGCAGAACTTCAATGTTTCCAATGCAATTTGAAATTACAGTTAAAAGCACTGGAGATGCTTTAGATATGATTAAAAAATTCTAATAAAATAAAACTTTATTTTTGTTTGGAATGAATGTGTACTTACACTTCACATGTTTCCACATTGTACTGCATCTTGAACCTCCAGCATTGCATTAAACTCTTCACAACCTTTTCTCAAAAATGCCATTGTAAGTACACATTGAGGTGTATTAACTAATGTTATTTTCTATGTCACAAAAGTACATTTCCCTGAACTTTAATTAATAATATTTGAAGGTGATAAAATCCTGAAAACTATTCAAAGAAATACTAATACATTAAATTCCAAATAATTACAGAATTTTACTTGTTTGCTGTTGCAGAATAGCTATTTTCAGGCAGTGACATCATTAAGTAGTACATTATAGTGTTATAAAAGGCAAAACCTAAAGAATGCAAATACTTAATAGAATTTGGAATCCATATCCACTTTAAGTTTATTTTTTTAAATGCAAATATAGTATTTTACCTAAGTAATGGTAATATCATTTACAAGAATTCTGCTGAAACAGAAGATAACATATATTCTGACAGCACCTCTTTCCTACTGCTCCTTGACAATGCACCCAAGAAAAAAAAGTGTACTTCTTCCTATGACTTTTCCTTCAAAATATGCTGATAAGAGTAGCAATCTAATTAATAAAATAATTTGAGTTGTCCTGGCTGTCATTTCTTTCACATAAGAAAATATTGCTTTTATTTGTCCCAAGGTGCTTTTTCAGGAAGAACTGGACTTTGGTTTTGTTTTGTTTTTTTCAAGATGTTTTGCTTCTCATCCAAAAAGCTTCTTCAGCTCTGACAGAATAGTGGGGAATGGAGCTGAAGAAGCTTCTTGGATGAGAAGCGAAACATCTTCAAACGTCTAGTTGCCTCCTGAAAAAAGTACCTTTGGGACAACCATGACCTGGATGACTGAGATTCTCTACAGACTATTGCTTTTATTTGAAGTCTTGCTAATGCTTTGCTAAATTGAAAATATAAAATTAAATAACATTAGCATAACATGTAATGGTAAAGGTTTTCCCTATCTAGTTGTGTCCAACTCTGGGGAACAGTGCTTATCTCCATTACTGAGACAAGGAAGCCAATGTTGTCTGAAGACATTTCCACAGTCATGTGGATCAGCATGACATCACAGCGCAAAGTCTGCGGCGAAGCACGGAACACTTACCTTCACACCAAAGTGGTGCCAATTTATCTACTCGCATTTTCATGCTTTCCAACTGCTAGGTAGGTAGGAGGCTGTGGCAAGAAAGGGAGCTTGTCCTTTGCATAGCACTTGGGTCTTGAACCTAGACCAGTGATGGCGAACTTTTTCGGCACCGAGTGCCCAAACTACAACCCAAAACCCACTTATGTATTGTGAAGTGCCAATACGCAGGGTGGGATCCAACCAGTGTTATAACCGGTATGGTGAGCACGCATTTTACACGCAGCCATGAACACGGCCACGCCTAACATGCACTGTGCGCACGTGCACAGGGTTTGGAAGAAATCATCAGCTCTGCTGCCTGGACAGCTGACAAGCGTTGCACGCGGGTGCGCAGCATTTGAAAATCCTTTCCTGCTTTTTCAACCTCAGCTGTGCTGTGCAAAGCAGCTAAGGTTGAAAAAGCAGGAAATAAAAAGCAGCCAAGAGCCCAGGCAGGAGGTTGGGCCAAAAATAGAAGCCAAGAAGATCAGCGCAGAGAACGGTTCTCTCTCTCCTGATTTTCCCAGCTACCACCAGGAGCGGGAGCAACTGGCCTTGGGCCAAGGCAAGCAAGAGAGGGAAGGGCAGGTCACAAAGTCAGCAACTTACCAAATATGTGGTCAAGTGAGGAGTCAGGGCAAGCAGGCAGGCAAACAAACAAGCGGCAACAATAAGAAGCAAGGAGCAGGAACCAGAGCAGCCAAAGAACTGTTAGGCGGTGTGCGTGACTCCGAAGGCAGGAGAGGCAGATGGGGCGGGGCGGGGCCAGCTAGTGAGGCAAAAAGTTAAGGTTTTTGCAAATAGGATAGGGGAGGTCAGTGTGATCTACAGACCCCAAAATCAGCTGGGAAGTGCGCATGCACGGTGGAGCTGAGTTGGGCTGACCACTCGCATGCCTGCAGAGAGGGCTCTGCATGCCACCTGTGGCACACATGCCATAGGTTTGCCATCATGGACCTAGACTGACAAGTTTGGCTTAACCACTAAGCCAGAGTGCCCCCCCATCACTAACATAATAGATATGTTAGATTTCTTGAAAAATCTCTTACGGAAATTAGTAGCATGTTTATTTTAAACTTGGAAGGAATTAAAGCATATATATTAGAATTTAATTTAATATATATTTGGGTGTTTTAAAATACAGAACATAGAGAATATCTTATAAGAGTTCTCTTTATGGAACATATTAAGGACTTTTTTTAAAAAAAATAAAGGTTTGTTCATTTATGAGAACTCAACAGATCACATCAAGCACTTAGAGTAACAAAGCATATACAGGAGCTAATATACTCAGAACAATTTGAATATTCTTTGAAATTCATTAACAAAAAATATTAGGAATCCTAAGAAAAAACTAGAAAGCAGCTGGCTTATCACTTGAAACAACAAAACGGAGAAAGTTTTATCCCTGCAGTTCAGGCTGATGATGGACAGTTACTTATCAAAACAAAATCTATTTTATGGTATTTGTATTCACTTATGTCGACTAGGGATTCTGGTAACTGCACAAGTTATCAATTTCCTGAAAAGTACTAAAGAGATTTCTTGGGATGATAAAATTAAATAAATACAGCTGTTGACATTACAAGAAAATGCTTTGAAAATGTAAAGAGGTTGAGTATTGAATATGATTTATCTTTAATATTCCCTGAAAATACATCTGTAGAAGCATAATGAGACTTCCGGTGGCAAGGCAAGGACGAACAGAGGTGCAGAAGCTCGTCTGTGGTTTCAGTTAATCTCTTTTTGCGGTTGGCGCGATCCTTTGAGGGTGCACGAGTCCCGGAGAGATTCGTGCCGGCGTGGGGGAGACTCGGGTTGCAGTGTGGGGAAGGCAACCCCCCTGCAGCGAAGAGGAGCACTCCAGAGCCCAACGAGCAAGAAACAGCCCCCTATAAATGGCGGCTCCGAAGTCCGGACTGCCACCGATGTAAAGAAGCGAGTGAGTGACAGTTTGTGAGATCATTGGGGAAGAGTGTGGCATAGAAAATTAGCAGCGGAGAGGAGGATTGGAATGCCATAGACTTTTATAAGGCTGTTACAAGTGTCTGTCTGGAGCCCTAAAAGAAAGTGGCCAAAAACCGGATGGGAGGCAAGTGAAAGTGAAAGGGCTTGGCAGACAGGAGAGAGAGAGAGGACAATAATGAGTAAAAAGGGAAGTTTACGAGGTTGGGAGACTAGCGGCTGGAAGGTGCCTGGAAGTTGTGGAAGATTTGGACTATCATTTGATTTTTATTCTGAAAGACTTTATTAAAGCAGAGACGGGAAGAAGATCGGAGCTGACAGAACAGAGACAGTGTGGTGCCACAGGCAATACTTAGAAACCCTGAAGCTATCGTAAGAATATAACTGATATAAACCACTTAACAGCCGTTTAGGGAGCATACTGATCTAATTGAGGAGGTGGTTCCATCTGAAGAAAATCAGGAAAATTGAACTTAGGAACGCTAAGACAAAAAGTAAAAGTGGAAGCTTCCGAATGTGTGGAGATACCGTGTAATTGCCTTATATCTCCTGTCCTTTTCTTCTCCCTTCTTTTTCTCCCTTTCATTTATGTATGTGTTGTTGGTTTGTTTTAATTGTAAAATCAATAAAATTTATTTTTAAAAAAGAAGCATAATGAAACAGTAGACCTCAGATGTGCTAGCAACCTGCGAGGTACCTATTTAAATCCATGTTTATATTAAATAGGGATGAACATTGACACTAGCAGTGTAAGAAACTTGAAGGTTCATTAAATTTCACAATTGTCCAGTTGTACTTTTGGTTTCAATTCACTACATACAGTATATCAAAACTGTTGATATGAGCAATCCTGCTTTATAAAAAATGGCTTAAACTTTAAACAGCAGTAGGCTTCCTTTTATAGAATTTTTTATAATTTTGTTTTAGAAAGCGGAATTTGGGATGCTTATAATGTGACTGGTTTTCTAGGGAAGAATTTCCCTAAGAGTAGCCTAAATTACCGAAGTGAAAGTAGCTGAATGCTTTCTGATTGTTGGCTAAAATCACAAAGTTGTTTGTTTCAAAGGACAGAAGAGTCATTAATTGCCTGTCATTAATAAGAGTCATTAATAAGCTGTCAAAAATATTCTGTGAAAATGAAGCAGAAAATAGTTACTCAAGTGTATGTAGAAAAATATGGCTAACTTGCTTTTTTAAAAAAAATAAACTGATCCTTGACAGTTGAACTGCTGAATATCTCAGTTGTGCTATAAAAATGTAGGGTACAGTCCTAGTAAGAATGGAATAGTTCTTTGTTCCAATTATAGCATGATCTCAGTAATCTGAGTGACAATCCTTGCATAGCCCATCTACATGTGAGTTGGAAGTAGAGGGAGGGAGGTAGCAAAGTTTGTGGGAAAGCCCCCCATTTTCCTAACCCAGGAATATAGTTGGTGGGCGTGGAGGGCTAAGTGCTCTATTTTAATGTGGCAGTGTTTTGCCTTACAAAGACAAATACCAAAATGTGTGTACTGTAAGTCTGTGTATAAA